GCGATCCATTCAGTGCAGTGTGTTCACCGAGCTATTATATCGCGGACACTCGTTTTCGTTGTACTGACTTTAGTCGCAATGAAGACTGGTCAATGGGGGAAAATAACTTCACCTATACTTTTCCGTCTGGCAATCTGGAGTGGAATGTGAGGTGGGTCAATATGTGAATTAAGAGGAAAAGAAACAAGTGAAAACTGACTTTTTAAGAATGTTTCACTTTAAAGGCAACAGAAAGCCTCGAACAAACAAGAGCCGTATATAATTACCAAAATTATCTTTCAACATTGGGGTGGTTTTCCGAATCTTATAACGGCTGAAAGCCGTTACCAAGTTGTTGTTGTGACCCAAAATTATCTTCTTCTATCCATCACTTCAATATTCAGTCCTCGATTACTCCTTTCTTCCATTCCTGTTAACATTTTGGTAAGTACACTGACTAGTGTATAAGGCTTTCCCATATTCAGGTTCGTTGATGTGGTGGCCTTTCAGCAGTCTCAGTGTATTTCAAAAACATCCCTTTCTTGTCTCGTCGACAGATACCAGAGTTGCTGTTGGATTTCCAATCTTGTGCGATATGCTGACTCACAATGGTCGGTATCCACCAAAATAAGTCTTTCTAGACGATCTGATAGCGGCAAAATCAACTCATCCCCAGTCTCCAAGAGCCCAGCTATTGTACGGTTTCAACAGGGCTGTCACAAGTCTCTTACAATTCCAGTTGAAGATCCGGATGGCGATTTTGTGAAATGTCGTTGGGCAACTAGCGCCGAGTCCTCCATACCAAGTAATAGTTTTCCTTACGGTGAACTAGATGAGGTACATTTATGCCCTCTAATTGTGTTATTTCCCTTGTTTTATAAAAACGTAAGGGAATTTTAAACCTTGTAAATTAGGATGATCACAACTTAAGACCTTAAAAGATTCTTTCATTACTTCCATGACAAAAATATGGATAACGCTTCATAGAGAAAAAAGAAATTTAGTCTTGTTTATTCTTGATGAATGGCATCAACACGTAAAAGAAAGAAGGATCAACAAGCACACTGTGATTTTCTTGTTAATACTAGCGAGATCTCAATATGGCACCTTGAGGTCGGATAATCTTAACTTGCTTGATGTATCTAAATAAGGCGTTTTTTGCAGAAAAACTGCATTTTAACTTACAGAGGTGGACTTGGAGCATCGGGCACATACGTAGTAACCTTAACTTTGGAAGACTTTCCAGCTGGAACCACAAACTTCAACAACATCAGACCATTCAGTGCTGTGCCACTGCAGTTTCTTGTCATAATAGGAGTTGGGTTTGGTTCTTGTCAAGACATACCTGTTTTTACTTCTTCTACACCTCAAAATGGTGAATGCTCAGAGATTCAGATTGGGTCGGTATACAAAGCAGTCATTGAGGTGCGGCTTCCAAACGTTAGTAAACAGTAAGTATTCAAGGTTACAATTTTAGGGCATCTGAGTTTGCCCTTTACATCCATAAACTGTTTATACTAAAACATATCCAAAGGCACATTACTTGTCTTGTTATGTTTGCTGTTAACCTAGACTCTTTTCTCAATGTTCTAAGTATTGTCGAGATAACCACAAGCTCTCCACTTGGAATGCAACTGACACCATTAAGCTCCCATGGAGGCATCTTCTTCAGGAATGTCACGTGGTATCCGAGTCGGAACCAAATTGGGCAGCAGCTGTTCTGCTTTCAAGCTTTGGATTCAGACGGGTAAGATGTTCTCGCATGTTATGTAAAAGATTTTGTACCTGGAATTTGGATTTTGATGAACTGTAGTTAGATTGATGTTTTTCAAGTTTTAATAAGAATTAATGATCACTTTTCACGACAAAGTATAATACTACTAGTGTTTCACTGGAATGTTAGATCTTCATGTCGGCAGTATTCTTAACTCAAACGTGATGCACTGCACCAGAGCAACTCTGTGCTAATACAAGATACATGTGCTGGAGTACCGGTTCGAGCAAAAACAGTTCTGTGCCAAGTTAACTTTAGAGCAAGTCGTCGTCGGGAGTATGCAAAAAGTTCATGTTGTGTAAACCGGCTTGCATTTATATTAATGATTCGTGTCATTTACAATTTACAGATTACAAAGTGAATGGCGCTGTGTCACGATCCTTGTGGGGCTAAGTTAGTAATTTTATATCCTCTGGAACATTTCAGTTCATTGAGACATATGCATAAATTGAGCTTGGTTAATTTCTCTCTCCCTCTGCTTAATCTTTAATACTGTTAAGGAGTTGGCAGGTTCATTTGTTTTTGATGCAGACTAGAACCACACAAACAAACACACATGCTAGTAAAAATAGCGAATAATGATGAATGATAAAAAGGCAATAATAACAATGGCATCATAATAAACAAAAATTGACATAAAAAGTATATCCATTGAGTCAATTACTTATTCATCTATGATTGAATTACGATGTACCATTTAGATATTAATTCAATATAACTACTTATTTTTAGGTAATACGCCTCATGTTATTTTGGGTACACGAAGGCCAATAAGTCCTATAAGTGAGATTGGAACAGGACTAATATGGTGGAGTATTCATTTTAACAGAGTGGTAATCAACACCCGTTTTTTTACCTTTTAAAGAATTACTTGTATGTAGATCCTTTATTAGCATTTTGATAATTTTCACGCTTTTGAGGGATAGCAATCACATTAATTTATGACGAGGTAATTTTACCCAGATATAACACCAGATTCCCGATACTAGGAAATAAAAAAAAATTACAATCACCTTTTCGAAGAACTAACTTTCAGATCTTGGGAATTCAAAAGGTTAGGGAAACATATATGGTTAGAATACACTTAAATTTATGATTAAGCTCGATTATTTGCAGATAAAGAAGCCTCGTAGCCCAGCATTCATCCGATTGGTTCTGCAGTCAAATGGTTTTACCGTCTTCAAAGTGAATACTCTCTCTGGTTACGTTGTTATCGACAGTAATCGCACAGTACTGCATTTTGCTACTCCTAAGGCTGCACTGAGTATGAACGGTTCATATGCCATCTTGATAGATCCCGGTGCAGTAGTTGGGCAGGGCTGCTCGAATGATGGTCCACCAACACCTGGTATAACCTCACCCATGGACTGGACCTTCCCCGTAGATGGTGTCTGCCCGCTTGGTTATGCTCTGGTTTCTCCAAGTTTTCAAAAGTGTGAGGGTACGTCCGCTGTTGTAGTATTTAGCGAAAAAGTACTCGGTATCTTTTCCCTACATTGGTCCGGTATGGGTTATGAGGGTGCATCATCCTTGCTTCAATCTCAACCGATGCAATAAAAGCCATCTGCTGATAGGATAGACTTTAGTACCAAGCCTGTAAATATATAGTGAGAATGATTGTTTTCAGCCTAAATAGGTTTTGTTATAATTATTTTGAAATGTTATGTGCATGAAGGATAAGCTGTTGGAATTGGCTTAATTATTTTCCAGATGATTTTTTAGAATGAAATTGCTCTCCATTATGATGCATCATCGTATGATATTCTAGAGTTTAAAGTCGCAAAGATCAGTCTGCATTCTCACTTTTAATATTATATCATTCTTTGCGCAGAAATTCTGATGTCTGCTGTTTGAGTGTAAAAACTAGTTAAAAACAAACATTCAATGAGATCAAGCAGAGCCTCAAAATAGAAAATTATATTAATTCAAATAGTGTAAACCATTTCAATATTTTAAATTTAAGCATGAACTCAAGTTTTGATTTTTTTTTTTAACGAGAGTCTGTCCATGTCAAAATTTCGTTTGTTTGCAGATATAGACGAATGCGGCGGACATCATCGGTCGAAACGTTCTTATTGGTGGTACAACGTGTTTTCCCAAAATTCAGGTAGATATCTCCACTGGTACCATAATTTTTTTGTGATGCTTCCTCGTGCTAATCATAATAAGGCCTCCCGGGTAATGTTTCGATTAACAGGATCATATAAATGAATGATAATCGGATCAATATCAGTATCTAGGCAACTGCCTACCTATCCCTCCCCTAACCCAACAACAGTAAATTGATAACAAGTTAGGGTGAATGTTGGGTTAGGGGAGGGGTAGGTGCATAGTTGCCCAGATACTGATATTGATCCGATTATCATTCATTTATATGGATCACCAGAAGAAGCAGGCTTACCTTGTCAGTTCTGGGAACATAATCTATCTTAAAATCGTGACTGAGTTGAAAACGAAATCTCACCTATACATGCGCAAAACTAGATCATCATCCTCTTCCAGTGGAACGTGGCATACTATGGCAGCGGTTTCTAAGGAGCTGATTTCTCTGAAGTCCTCTTAGGGGCTGGTGTGAAATGGTTCTCCATCCATTTGTCTTTGACCTCCTCTTCCAATCCTCCAAGATAGCCCTGAGCACACTTTTTTGTCATCTGTTGGCTAATTTTACATGCTCATCTGTTCCCCTTTTCCCTCCTCCCTTCCACCCTTCTACCTTCACAAATACCAGATTAACGAACAGAACGACCATAGTGATATTCTTTTTTTCTTGTTTTCATGAAACCAAGTAGTTAAGTGCGGATTAAAGTTTACTGTTTTTCGGATCGTTAGCAAGATGTGCAACTTGAATGGTCTCAAGTTTGTATTCTCTCGATGATCTTCACAATTTACTGTTATTGTACACTCTCCGGCAAAACAACTAAAAATCACACCATTTCTGTCTAATCACTCCCTTTATTTCAGTTTGGATCTCTTTGAAACTCATTGTCTCTTCATGGTCAATATAGCTAGAGACTTCGACAGAATTTAGAACCTTGACTTTACGGAGGGTCTCAATGGGGTTAACCGATGGCCGTAAAACGGCCAAAAAATTTACCCGTAAGGCGTAAAAAATTGACAGATTTTAATCGTTAGTCGTAAAAAATGTTCACCGCTAAAAAATGTACAGAAATGGAATGATATTAATCGTACATGTTAGCCGTAAAATCGCCAAAATTTTAACCGTCAGCCGTAAAAGCCATCACCCCATCGAGACCCTCTTTTATTGGAACAGTTTCGTGTCCCGTAATAAAAAGTATTTAAAAAGTGAATTAAAAATTCCTCTCTTTTTCAGCCTGCAACGCTACCGGAGAATTCATCAATTCTACCAGCGGTCACATTTCCAGCTACAATTTTCCCGACAACTATGACCCAAACAGGATTTGTACCTGGAATATCACGGTACCCAGAGGGAAAATCATCAAACTGACCTTCTTGAACTTTACCTTGGTGGCAGGTGAAAACGATGACTGTGCTGGAGCGGCGGGAGATAGTGCCCGAGTCTTTATCACAAACGTTGCTTCTCATGGAGGAAAACCTAATGACTTTAAGATCTGTGGTCAAAAGCTTCCCCCTCCTGTATACTCCGAGGGAAATTTCATTCAAGTGAGATTTGAATCTCGCACTGGTCTTGTAAACAAAGGGTTCAATGCAACCTTTGAGGCGATAGATAGAGATTCACGTAAGAGGTTTTCTTCTGTTGTATTTTCTGAAGGAAGCATAGAAGTGTATTGAGCATGTACCCTGTTGAACTAAGCGAGAATTTTGTTGAGTATAACCTGAAAACAATGATGTGAACAATCGATGAACAGCTATAGTCTGTAGAAAACAAATTGAATGTATTCAAGCCTTTCACTTGGACGCAAGCTGTTTATATTTCACGTCATACGGAAAATGAGCTGTCGGCGGTATTGAAAGTTAATTAACGACATTGGAGTGTAAAATCAACACTAAAACAGTTTTCGAAGCCTGACACAGTCTTTGTTACTCTTTTTAGTGTGCCCAACAGATATGATCCTCAATGAAACATCAGGTTCTTTCTCCTCTCCCTTTTATCCAAGAAACTATCCATTCAACCAGACATGTAGCTGGAAGATTATAGGGAAACAAGGATACCGTGTTGAGCTCACAATACCAGACTATAATCTTCAACGTTGTGATGGCGCTGGTTGCTTGTGTGATTATATGGAAGTTCAGAATAGCTTCAGTGATCAAGCACTGCCTGGAAAACTATGTGGTACGCCAAGGTATACTCCTGTAAAATTTTATTCACTTCACGAAAGCTTGAGGGTGGTGTTTGTGTCCGATGATACAAACATGGATTATGACGGATTTGGGGCAACTTACAAGCTGTTGAACTACAGTCCTCCAAGTAAGTAGAGAAAACAACGACGTGAGATCTAAGAGTTCGCTGAGAGAATATGTTACATACAATAAATTCACTCATACAAGTAATGATAAGGAGCTTAGTTAATAAGAGTGGAGGTTACCCATTGTGCTTGTGTTCCTTCGAATTTCAATGTACAATATCGATCCTGTGAAGTACTTTTTCAAGACTTAGCACTGATAGCATATTTTTTCTTTATTCATAATCAGATTTTAAAGTGTATGATAGTGTAAGCTAACCGTCTGTAGCCCTGAGAAGGACTGTTGTCGGTACTACTGCCTGGTGTTTCGACAATTAACTTGAGAGGAAGTCAACATCAGAGTCTCGAACCCCTGGGTTCAAAACCATTTCCTGAACTTTAGTGTTTCACTAACTCAAGAAAATGTTATTATTATTCAGAAGTGGCATTCGATGTGACAAACGCTTTTTTCTCTGAGCAAAGGGGTCATATCGGTTAAAAGAACATTCCTGCTTGGAACTTCTTGTGGTGTTTATTATCATTTACAGACTATTCGAGCACAACAACTACTTTAAATGGTAGTTATCTTGTTTCTGTTGTTGCTACCCATGCCACTTCCACCACCACTGTCACCATCACTACTGTCTACCTCTAAACCTATCCTCTGACACCACTGCTATCCCTACCATTACCACTAACCCTTACTTATACAACTGCCACTTGCACTACCACTTTCGCCAACATCACAACCACCTTGCGGCTGAACTGTTATCACTACTATTACCACCTCCAGTAACACTTCCTCTTCCACTAGCATTACTAATTTCAACACTAATTTTACTACCACGACCGCTACAACTAGTGCCAGTATTTCCTTTGCTATTTTCACTACTTCTTCTATTGTGGAGGTGGAGAAGGTAAGATAGATAGGTAAACTGCGGTCAGGCACTTAAGGGATTTAGTTACGAATATATCCTATTAAATTCGACTTATACACGAGAAGGTCATAGTCAGAGAGGCAGATTAACTAAATCACACAACTGTTAGTTACATTTGTCTCACCATAATTCCTGATCGAATTCAACTTCGAAGCTTTTACGTGATTACCATTTTCTTTTTACAGGTAACAAACCTACCTCATCTGCTACCAATATATCACCTTCTCCAGGTATTTTATTATTTTCTTTTTAATTTTGTCTTTTTTGCGAATGCTGTTGTTGGATCCATTATATTATACATGTTTTTTAAATCCTCTCAAAGAAAATGTACATTTGTCTTCCGGCAGGGTTCGTAACAGCCCAGTAGGTTGTCTATTCTACTATAGGTTGTCTATTCTACCATAGGAGTAATAAAAGTCTTATATTTCCTTTTTGGATGAAGCAACTTCTATATCTTCAACGGCGTCAGCAATGCTATCGGCTCTTCCAGGTAAGACAAGGAGTTTTAATCATTGCTTCTACCGTGAAACCTTATCGACCTTGGTCGAATGAAAAGTTAAAACTTAAACAATGTACACGAAAATAGAGAAATAAAGATAACATTACACTAATTATGTTTCAATTCGTTCTTTATCAGGACCCTGTATTTACAACTTAGGAGGCCAGTATGGATATTTCAACAGCCCAAATTACCCATTTAACTACGACCACCATCTTAATTGTGTTTGGATTATTACTGTACCAAATGGCTACTACATATACCTCCGCTTTGATCATTTCCATCTGCAAGGTGGCCATGGAAGTTGCCCTTTCGACTACGTGCAGATATATGACGGATCGTTTTTGCAAAGCCTCACAATAAGACGCTGCTATTATCAAAACTCTTGGTGTGTTTACAGTCACAGCAACGTCCTTTATGTGTATTTTGTGACGGATCATTCTGTATCCTACTCTGGTTTCACTGCTTATTATGAAAGAGTCCATCATACATATCATGTCTGCCCGCATCCAAGTGCAAGTAAGAATATGACCACAAAGGTTTTCTAATAGTAATCGATTTCCATTAGATTCTGCTTATTATTTATTCGATTTATTTTGCAAGAAAATATTTACAATATTTACAATATCTATATTCGAATATACACAATTTTCTTCTTATTCCTGGCAAGGAAGCTCATTTCGAAAGCCTGGAGCTTATAACTAAGACTTTACGCCCCAAAGACTTAAAACACACTTATCATGGGAGAACTATTATTAACTGAAGATAGTTAAGGTAAAAGGGACAACAGAGAAAACAAGCAAAAAAAGTGATTCTTAAGAAAAGTAAACAAAAATACAAACACACGCACACAAATAGCAAGCAAGCAGACGCGCTTAAAACATTTCGCAAAAAAACAAGATAAATATGTGTGTGTGTGTATATATATATATATATATATATATATAGGGAGTCTGCAAGTCGATTTTCGCGTGGAACAGTGCTCAATACGTTGAAGCAGAGCAGAATAAATATTATGAGAGGAAAAAAGGGCGCAACTACATTTTCCCGACAAGCTTGTTTCGTGAATCGCTTCACTCTTCAGGGGTTTAATCAATTAATCAATTAAGAAGAGAAACAAGAAAAAAGAAATACTTATAGTCTTGATTTAAAAAGCTTTGTCCACTAAATTCTCTTTATCAATATCATTAGACGGGCTACATAAAATCAGGCAAACATAAATAGGTTAAGCAGAGATCTTTTCAAGGAAATAAAGGGTTAAAGGGCTTGCACACCCTTTCTTGTGGATCCTGACTTCGTACCTATATATTTTTTCAGTGGAGAAACTTAGCCACCATGATTATTTTCTTCCCATAGCTCACCAGTTGCCGTCAAGTGTTTTCACTGGTATATCTCCTACACCAGGTACTTTTTTTCTTATCCAATGTTTTACTGTATCGTTGATTTTTCATATTGTTTGAATGTGTGGGTTATCGATTGAAAGTGTTTTCAGCAAGTTTATAGGAATGCGATGTAATCTCGTGTACATTCTATTTACCCTTCAGAGCTAAGGTGTTAGTACTTTCTTTTTCCCTAGATTCAACTAACACACATCTTTTTTTGGGGTTTATCCTTTTCAAGTTGCGTGTATCCTATTTTTGATCATGCCTCTTATCTTCACAGCGTCGATATTACCAATGTCAACAGCCATGCTGCCAGCTGCCTCTGGTAAGACTGCATGACACTTTAGTATTTCTTAAATAATCCTGAATTCCCTGATATATGCTTGATGTCAAGATAATAGTTGATAGTCTAACTTATGTTGTTGCTTATTTGATGACTGTTTTTTTTAGGATCCTGTCTCTACAATCTATATGGACCACAAGGAAATTTTAGCACTCCAAACTACCCACAAAACTACGGCCACAATGTCCATTGTACTTGGCTTATTACGACATCACCAGGTTCTTACATTTTCCTCCGCTTTGATCATTTCCATCTGGAGGGTAATCATGGAAGTTGCCCTTACGACTACGTACGGATATATGATGGAAATTCTTATCAAAGCCTAACAATGAGACGCTGCGATTATCAAGATTCCTGGTGCATTTACAGCCACAGCAACGTCCTTTATGTACACTTCCAAACAGATGGTTCAGTTTCCTACCCTGGTTTCACTGCCTTTTATGAAAAAGTCTCTAAGAGATACGCAGTCTGCAAAGTCAATTCGAGTAAGGCTACTTTTAGTCTTGCATTTATCTGCATGTCTGGTGGTAACCTTTCAAAAAATTATGCAAAGCAATACCGATAGACACACGCTCAAGTAAAACAGAAAGAAAGACAGGTAGGCAGGCAGACTGACTGAGAGACAGACAATTCGCTCTGACGAAGGGCAAACACTTCAAATTGTCAGCTGTATCTTGTTATATTTCTCCACCGACACAGCACCACAGTTTCTTCCAAACCTCACCCCTTTAAATAAACAGATTGTCAGACAAGAGACGAGACAACAGACTGGTAAGCAGACATACGGAGAGACAGATACAGAACGGGAAGAAATCTTTGATGACGGTTGTTGTGTCTGACAAAAAATGTTTCAAAATTATGCGTTAAGGAGATTACAGTACATTTAGTATAATAACATATGTCCATAATTTTGGGTAAGTAACAAACAAGCTTTGGAAAAACATTCCTGAGGTGGCAAACGTGGTAACAATACCTTTCCATTTCTTTTTGCAGGTATCTCACAAGGCATAACACCTACTTCAGCTGGTATTTTTCGTTTTATTCTTCTTCTACGACTACAAAAACCAGTTCTGCAACTACCATGACCACTACTACTATTGCCGTTACCAATACTACCACTACTTCTTCTACTAGTTTCACTGCAAAGCAAGGAATTTGTGTTTATAAGGAATTAAATAGAAGAATAAATACCATCGAACAAAAATACAGAAAAAAGATAAAAAACGGTTTTTAACAAAAGGTTGGGGTTGGCAAACACAACTAAAAAAAAGAATCTGTAAACTAAATATTTTTACCTGTTGGAATCGTCGTGTGTGAAATTTTCCGATTTTTTTCCATTCGTCTAAAAACATTTAGACTCAGTGATGACGTAACTCTTGATAATGAATTCGATAAATGCGAGATGAAGCCTCACCAATTTTGTTTTCCCCACAGCTCCATGGGCATCCGCCAGCGCAGCTCCTTCATTTGCTTCAGGTTGTATTTCAACCCTTTCTATCTCATCTACCATCAAATAAATATATATGTGGAGAAAAAAATAGTTTTTGTAATATCAACTTGGTTTTATTAGGTAATTCGGAATAGAACTCAGTTTCTTTGAATATATGGACCGTAAGGGATTTTCATTGGCTTAAAAGAAACGATTAAAAGCTCATGCGATTGGTGGGAAACCTTTACCAAAATGGCTCGCTAGATTATTATTATTATTATTATTAGTAGTAGTAGTATTAGTATTATTATTAAGCTGTTTGCAGAGTTCAACAAACAGCGATGCACAATTGACTTGCTTTAAAGTTTTTTGTGTGATATCGACTTTGAAGGCTTTTAACATCGTCTGGCCATGTTAAAATTAGTAATGCACCCTATTTTTGATGTTGTTGTCCCTTTTTGACGTTGCTGTCCCTTTTGTCTTTATCAATTTGTTTTCCTCTTTTGCATTCAGAATGCTATTACCACTCATACCTAACAGAGGCAGAAAGAAGGATGAGTTACTATAACGGCTTCAACGGATATCTGCAATGTGATAACTTGTTACCGTTTGGATGGTATCGATTTGGTGGTGCAGCAGGAACAGAGATGCCTACGTCCTGTGTAGGAAAAAATCGATGTGGCACCCATGCACCGGGTTGGTTGAATGGCTCGCACCCGCGAGCAACTGATGGAATTGTCCGTGCTAAAGTGTGTTTCCATTGGAGTTATGATTGTTGCTTGTGGTCTGCCAATATCCGTGTTCGTAACTGCAGCGGTTTCTACGTATACGAGCTTGTGCCCCCGCCAAATTGTCACCTTCGTTATTGTGGTAATGGTGGAGGTAAGACAGACAGGCGTAAAATTAATGTAGAAAAACAACAGACAGAAAGAAAGACAATTGCAAGAGACACACAAATATCAAGCAGACAGACAAATGGTCGAGAGACAAACATACAGAAAAACAGTAAACACATTCAAATGGACAAACAGGGACAAACGAACAAAAGACAAATGGACAGACCGACCACAGAGTGCCACACAAAAAATAAAGTAAAGCCATGAGATAGCGTACAATAGAGACTAAAAGGAGGGTTGTACAGACAGAACGTATAACGTATAACCCTTTAACTCCTATGAGTGACCAAGACAGAATTTTCCTTAAAATATCAGTACAATAGCAGTCAAACAATGATAAGAATAAAGGAAAATATCAATTAGGGGATTATAGGTTGATCCAATACCAACTTCGAATTCTCCAAACTAACATCACAAATGAGATCTTGAGAGTTACATGCATTTATCTCAATAGGAGTAAGAGGTTGGATTGTTACGCTAACATTTCCCTTTTCAAGTGGTTAAGTTATTAGCCTGTATTAAAAGACGAGGAAAGCTTGAAATCCCAGTGAATCATTTAATCAATCAATGAATCAATCGATTAATCCGTCAATAGCTGAATGAATGAAGCTTACATCTCTCCGAGCAGTTAAATCATTGAAGAAACCTCGCAGATTGTATTCGTTTATGAGGAAACGTAAGTTACATTTAAATTAAAGGTACTATTCCTGTGGTTGATGTATAGTGATGCTCAATGAATGTTCATTTATTTTGTTTTCAGCTCTTCACTCAACTAGTATCGCACCTACACCCTGTGAGTATCTTTTACTTTAACATGAATTAAGTTTCAGCTGTTATACTTCGATTGATTTTTGTGATTTCTCCGTACACAGGAGGAACTGAAATGAGTGTGTAGGATTAAACCGAAGACACTCTACCATTTCTAAAACTTTTTATTCCTCCATTAAATTACTGAAGACATAGTCGTTAAAAGAAAATTGGATGAACAATCCACGAAATATTCCTCATGTCTAAGCCTAAAAGAGCAACAGTTTTGTCAGCCTTTCTCATTGCGATTATGCATTTTTTAAGAATAATACATGGTGTTTATGAATTTCAACACTTAGCACCGTCACTCTTTATTTATTCTTGCTTTTTATAGCGCAGTCTACTGCAGCCGTTACCCCGGCTATTCCTGGTAAGTGATGCGTGGTAGAAATCAAAGAGAAGGTGATAATTTTTTAATTTAAGTGAAGGTGTTAATTTGGATGCTGCATGGTATGAATTTCTATGTAGTTTAATTGGAGCCCATTACAACGAATGACACAGTATACTCGGAGAGAAAGAACTCCGAGTGCTCCGATCAGGAGTCGAACGTACGACCTTCCTATTAGTGCTTCGGATGCTCGACCATACACTGGGACTTGGGAGACTGGTGATGGGCTGAGCCGTTTAACTAGGTCGATGGTGGCAAACTTCTTGTATAATGCAAGAATAGGAATGCAAAATGCATGCTTTTGCGCGGTTATGATGTAAATGAAGATGGTAAATTAATTTGAAACTTGGTTATGTAAATGAACGCTGAGTCGATGCTTTTTTCATGGCCTAACACCTATGCCTTATCTAATGTGAAGATATGCACTTTGCTAGAGCGCACTTTCCAGATAACTATTCAGTGAGCGTGAATAAAAATAAACGATCACTGTAAAACATGGACCAAAAAACCCATTTAAGTCCAAAGTAGTGTTTTTGTTTCACTATATGTAAATTCTCATTTGCAGGAAACTGTTTCCATCATCTCAACCACCCTTATGGTTTATTTGAGAGTCCAGGCAAACCAAGTTGTTACCCGAACAACAAGTACTGCGCCTGGCTGCTCGAAGCTCCTGTTGGTCAATACATTGATCTACAATTCTATTCTTTCCATTTGGAATACGGAGCTTCTTACTGCCCGTGGGATTATGTCGAAGTTCTTGACGGTAACTCATTGCACAGTCCTATTCTTGTCAAGGCGTGCGGCCAGTTGGCGTGGTGGAGATTGTACAGTAGTGGAAGGTTCCTTATGGTGCTGTTCAAATCGGACAGTATCATCGGGATGCCTGGATTCTCTGCTTATTACCAAGCTTCACATAACAGTAAGAGAAATAAATCAATTTCTTCAAAACGTTTCTTAAATCACAATGTTTAGATGAAAGTTTTGTGGCGTAAATGAAATGTTTTAAGGGCTCCAGGTAAAGTCAATTCGAATTAAAACTTTAAAGCAAGTTTAATAAGACGGTTTTCGAGGTTAGTCAAGTCGTACCTTCCAAGTAGTAAATTGTTTTTCACCGCATTTTCGTAATAAGTCTTAAATACTTTAATAGAAAGAACTTAAGACTGACTCTTAGAATCGTAAACAATATGGTTCACTTACTGTTAGAAGCCTTTTTTCTTAACATATACAAACTCAAGCTCTTCCTCATACGCAGGATACAACATTTCATTACCAAGCCAAGTGTCAATAACAAGCCCAGTGCAGTGTTCTCCTACGCAGACACAAACTACCACTCCTGTCACGTCAAATGGTAAGTGAACGAAACGTGTGCTCTTAACAAATGTCATTTTTAATGACTAACACATCTATGCAACTTTCTTACCCAAACATAATTTCCTTTTAAACCTCCAGTTTGTCACATAGTGATCATGTTTCGAAAAAATTCTGTAACGAACGCACCAGTAAATTATCAGCATATATTAACTTTGCCATTGATTTCCTAGGTTATTTCAAGAAATAACCTAGGTCTAACAATAATTTACAGTGTACAATACAAGGTAAACGAAAATTGAACGGAGAAAGGACAGCAACAACGTAATGACAGTTCGAATAGGTTTACAAAACGAAAAGTCGTGAATAAACCGACATAGAGACACTCCTGGAAACCCAAAAATTTGGCGTGAAAACTTTGAAACCTTTCACATCCAGAAGTGATTATTATGTAATTTCTCCCCATAATATCCATACATCATCCAGCAAACAGGTAATGAGAATACTAAATCTTATCAGAAAGAAGTTATTATATTGATCAAACACCAAATTCTCTGTAGTAACTAAAAGGGAGAGTTAACAACCAGACTATAGTTATAACTAGTTATAACTGAAACCACTGAAAGACCATACAACAAGTACAAAAATTTATAATTAAAATTTTGAATTATGCTGAAAGACTTAACCGAATACACCAATACATTAACGGACTAAGTGAGGGAGGATAAAAATAACAGTAGAAGAATTGTCTATGCTTGTTTGCAGTGCACGGAATCCAACCGACACCTGCTTCTGCAATGACATCGACCTTCTATGCTGCTTCAAGTGTAAACGTCCAGCCAAATCCTTCCCAGTTCCAGTTTCATTTACCGGCGCAATGCGAACAAAGTTGTCACAACACGTTAGGAAGTTACACCTGCTCTTGCGTTAGTGGATACCAACTGGCCGCGGACGGGAAATCGTGCTTAGGTAAAATTGATTCTACAAAAATAAGTTTTGAGAAATTTTGTTTTTGATACATTCTCATAGCCTCGCTATAGATTTTTGTAGAACAGAAAAACCAAGATCGATTTTTTTTCGTCACGAGCACGATTAAAATAAGAGATCGTTGTGTTTTTGATGTTCAGCCTAAATCTCTATTTGTTGTTTGACGTGTGCCGGCCGTTTAATACTTTACAAAGGTTACCGATCAATGAGCCCTTGACACCCATACATCAGAATGCATATTCTCCATACTGTTCTACATACATTTCTTAGTGTGTTGACAAGGAGGATTTGTGTAACTTCATTAGTAGGTGATCATTTCCTTTATTCTCATTGCCTTTATGTGTAATTCAGGGGTGATATTGTAAGGAGAAATTAAATCCTATTCATTCTTAGGGTTAACAATATAGACCTCAGAATACCCTAATTGCTCTCCTTCTCTCGTGCGCGCTTTCCGTTCTCCTTAAGTGCCCATGGTAAGTTTAGCTTGCAATTTTAATGTTTGAGGTGGCTGTGTATTTCTCTTCAATTAATTTTATAACTTGTTTTTTTTCCCTTTTGCGCAGACGTTGATGAATGTTCGATCAGTAATGGTGGCTGCAGCCATCATTGTTACAATATCCCTGGATCATTTTATTGTGGCTGTCCGGAAGGAACCAGTATGGGTGCTAACAATTTGACTTGTGTTGGTAAGAAATGCTAAGCTAAGCTTTCTGCATATGACTACTGAAGGAAAATTCTGCCTCTGTCTAGGATGGGAATATATAACGATCAACAATGAAAGACGACTGACCGTTCCTGTAATGTATGTATATTGGAAGGAAAGCAGAAAAACATTGTGGATGCGTGGTACTTTTTTGTGACTCAACTATCTCAAAGTTTTTATGGATTAGGCACGAGTAGTTGGAAGACATTTAAATCTTGTTAAATTTAAGGCTGTTGCTTTTTTATTCATCTTAGAACCTGGTGTGTCTGTTAACTGCAGTGACATTATAACGGTTGCCCTAGAAAAGAAGACATTTCCATTTTTTGACGTTGCCCGACTACACTTGAGGTACTCATCATGTAAAGCCACACAGAATGACACCCATTTGCTGATCAACACTCCATTAAATGGTTGCGGAACACTGGTCAACGAGACTGAAGATGACCTTATCTTCTGGAATGAAATCCGAACGGAGGTGATCCTGATCGACAATGTCATAACTAGATCACATGACGTCAAAATTCCATTTTATTGCAGTTATTCGAGAAGGAAATGGGTCAACCTGGGTTTCAAGCCTCAGCATCTACACTTTGGGACAGAAGGTAAATGAAACTTTCCAGCTCTCATTCTGATCACTCCAAATCAGCAACATGTATCTTTAGGTAAGGTGCTTTCCTCCTGAGGATGATCGATGCTATCCTTTCGTCTCTAGAGTGGAAGGCAGATTTGTTTTAAAATTTAACACGTTTACGTGCTAAATGACTTTATATTTTCCGCTTTCCAGCTGGGTATGGAAACTTTACCTTTAAAATTGACTTTTACAAGAGTTCGTCATTTGCCACACCCTATACTGAGCAGGACTACCCTCTGAGCGTGCCAGTCAATCAGTTCTTGTATGTGAGATACAGCGTAGAATCCAGTGCTGATCTGGTGATAATGGCCGTAACATGTCGGGCCACTAAAACTGGAAGCTTGTACTCCTGGCCACAATACTCTATTATACTGAATGGGTATGTATGTTACTCAAACAGATCAGTATGAATGATCTTCCTGGAAAAATACGCAAGTTTCAGTCAAGTAATCAACGAATCGTTTTTTTCATATCACCTACATTTCTTTCTATAAAGACATCTGTATGCTTTTAAAGGTTTGTAGTCCCCTGTGCTGCGAAAGCTAAATTCCTAGTGCAAAGTATGGAGGCGTTCGGTGTTACTGAAGGACAACCTCCAACGTTTTACTGACTCTAATGAGTAATGAACGAATGGACTTGGACTATATAGGCCATCATCACATTATTATTCCAGAGAAAGCGTACTATTATAACCACGAAATCCTTTCAATATTTCCTTACCAAATATTCAAGCTTCTGAAAAGCTAAAATTACCCAGAACGCTCTTTAAAAAGTTTTCTAGTGGCAGCATGAATTAGAAAGAAACAGACTCAGGTGACAATGAACAAAATATCCTACTTGTGCGCGTGAATTATAACTTACTTCTTACTTTCACTACCTACAGTTGTCCGCGAGACACAACCATGGAATACAACTTTGATCCCCAAAGGAATTACCAGCAGTTTAAAATCAGAGCATTCAGATTCTTTAACGACTACGATCAGGTGTACATTCATTGCGAAGTTTTGGCCTGTCATAAATACTCTTCAAACTCCAGGTGAGTTAACAAACTCGTACAACTACACTGAAAGCATTCTTTTGATTAAGTGTCGTCGAGGTGAAGTCTGTACTCGAGCCTACTGACCCGTTCAGCCGGGGCTTATCCCAGTTTCCCTGTAGCATGAAGCGACTAGAAGTATGACTGCTCCCCCGTGGATGTGATGCATTGCAAGGTTACCCCACAGCATTTCATTAGGCCTCCCTGACAGTTCGCGGATGCCCTTTTATACTGATGTTTCAAGCGTTAGCCCTTCGTTAGAGTGATAGACGGAGGGCCAATCTCCGAAACGTCAGCTTTTAAACTCTTTACAGTGGCCTTACTCTGAATAATGAGACGAACGACTAATTATTACTCTATAAAACTCAGATTGAATAGTTGAATTAAGATTATAAAGCAAAAGTAAACATTTTATCGAACTAGATCGATTTGTCCCATAAACGCTATAGGCAAGGAGATGCCGAATAAACATTTATCACCGAGAAACATAACAATTACCCTTGAGAAATTTGAGTGCAATATGATTTCATCACTCACAATATAAAAAAGGCGTTCGAAGCTCATTCAAATCTTCCTCAATAACTTTGACAGGTGCACCCAAAGTTGTTTGGGAAGTAAGAAGAGAAAGCGGAGGGATGTTACCCGCGACGAAACAGAACATGAAGAGAGTACTACCAAAGTCACTCTGACACGAGGACCACTGATCTTTCAACAGGACGAAGAACCAGGAGGCAAGTTCACATATAGTGTCAAAAGATAAGGGTTTGAGATATACAAGTTTTTTCTCAAATACTGCAGAGCTTGTGTTAAACATGTCAAAAATGCTGTCTTGCCTAAATTTTAAATTTGGGGTAGTTTGTCACTGGTTCAAAACTAATAAAGATGATGAGAAAAACTTTCAAAACACAACTTTACTGAAAAAGGAAATTCAGGTCCAAACGTGTAACTGGCATTTTCACTTTCTCTATTGTCAAAAAGAAAAATATCAGTATTGAAGGATTTTGAAAATAGGTAAACTAAGGCAATTTTATATCAAGTTGGCAGTTGATTTCAGTTTCTTGCTTATAAATATTAAGTTATTTCCCTTTCCCTTTTCTTCAACTAATTTCATTAACAGAAATAAGAAAAATGAGATTGAGTTATTTTTTTCAATTTTAAATTTTTCCCTTTCTTCGGTCCTCACTTGAGATGTGATTCCTCTTCTGCATTCAAATTTCAGACACTGGTAAAAACAAGCAAACTGCGCTGATTGGTGGCGTAGCTGGCGCTGGAGGATTTGCTCTGATTGCAGTTGCTGCATTGGCTGTTTTATTTGTCAAGTACCGCATGGCACGACGGTTCATAAACAGAAACAAGGTTGGAGACCTGTACACAACCCAAGATGAACAGCTAAGCAGAAGAAATGCTTACGTTCAGCCTGAAGACATGGTCGAACAAGAAGACTCCTTCTAAATATAAGCTATTCTTTTGAGCCCAGTTGCTCAAAGGACAGAGAACGTCATCCAACGGATAAATCACTATCCAGTGGAGAAGTGTGTATAAACTGTACTGTGCTATCCACCGGTTAGGGATTTATCCAATAAGAAAGCGTTATCCACCCTTTGAACAACCGAAGCCTGCATTGCTTACTAGCCTCCTTATCAAGCAGCAAACCTCTGAATACAGGCAAACCACTGAACTTTATAGCAACAGTACCGCTCAGATATCTGTTGACTACGGAGACGCACTTCATACGCTCAAACGCAGGGTAGTCAGGTGCGCATACACGATTTTTCTGCGTGCGTGCGCGCACGGTCGAAAAAAGTGCGCAACTCATGTGTCAAAAGGACCTCGTGTTGCAGCGTTTAGATCACCCCTGACGAAGGCACTAGACAAGAGTGTCGAAACGTTGGGTCTATGAATTGTAACTTATTGGTCATTAAATCTTTAAACCAGAGTAGCATCAAACCATGTCTCATATGTCTTTGTTATTCAGTGCTAGAAGTTTCCTTTGTGTTACATTGTTGTGTAAAAGACAGAGAACGTCATCCAACGGATAAATCACTCTCCAGTGGAGAAGTGTGTATAAACTGTATTGTGCTATCCACCGGTTAGAGATTTATCCAATAAGAAAGCGTTATCCACCCTTTGAACAACCGAAGCCTGCATTGCTTACTAGCCTCCTTATCAAGCAGCAAACCTCTGAATACAGGCAAACCACCGAACTTTATAGCAACAGTACCCCTCAGATAGCTGTTGACTACGGAGACGTACTTCATACGCTCAAACGCAGGGTAGACAGGTGCGCATACACGATTTTTCTGCGCGCACGGTCGAAAAAAGTGCGCAACTCATGTGTCAAAAGGACCTCGTGTTGCAGCGTTTAGATCAACCCTGACGAAGGCACTAGACAAGAATGTCGAAACGTTGGGTCAATGAATTGTAACTTCTTTGGTTACATTCATTAAATCTGTAAACCAGAGTAGCATCAAACCATGTCTCATATGTCTTTGTTATTCAGTGCTAGAAGTTTCCTTTGTGTTACATTGTTGTGTAAAAAAAAGAACTTTTTGGCTAAGAATATATGAAAGTCATATATTTGAACTGCGGATAAAGACGTGAATGAAAGTGATCCTCGCAGTAATGTGCACTACTTGGGCAGTAGTGAAAATAAGGCCTGGAAAAAAAAATTCAGGCCAGTACGGGATTTGAATCCATGACCTCTACGACACCGGTGCAGCGCTCTACCAACTGAGCTAACAAGCCAACTGGGAGCTGATCATGATGTTGGTTCCAAATAAACCCGTGAAGTGATGCTGCCTGCCCAAGTAGTGCACATTACTGCGAGGATCACTTTCATTCACGTCTTTAAAGAAGTTCAAGTAGTTGCCAAATATATGGCCATTAGTTCATTTCCCATCTTATCATCCTCACCCCTCGTATTCATTTTTATTCTATAATTGTCCACCTGATAAAGCTCTGGAGCAGAGCTATGACCCTTACAGCAGTAGCAAGATATTTCGACTGAGAGCATTTAGGTTCGTCAATGATTATGATTCCTTTTACTTGCACTGTGAGTTGCTGGCTTGTGACCGATACTCTGAGAACTTCAGGTCAGTTATAATTGTTGTTGTTGTTGTTGTTTTCATTTTATTTACTTTGTTTCTAGGTTTGCTTTTATTGTTGAATTTTTTCTTTGATTTGTTTGCTGGAAGGTGTCCACATTGATGTTCACCACCAGAAATATGGATGTCTTGGCAAATAAAAAGCATTGAGGACACAACTGGCCCCCACACCTTTAAAAGAGGGCCAATAAATTTCCAAGAAGACTCAGAATGAGAGTGGGGGTAAAAAACTGCAAGAAATCAGTGATTATACTCCTGGTAGCTTCTCTGATTAGAAGTAAGCACATAAGCATCATTAAGATGCAATCTCCCAGGAGGGGAAAAAGAAGAAAAAGAAAGGCACAATTTAGCTATTTTTTCCTTACAAAGGCCCTTAAGCACTATTTGCACCTCATAGAAGAAGGGGAGGGGTGTTTGAATCTTCCATTTATAGGCCACATCAGGTCCCAGAACCTGCAACACAAATCATATTTGAATCTCAAAGGAAATTTGTGGGTTGCAGCCTAAGGTTGACATTCTATTTGTATTCATAGATCTTTTGAAACATCCTACAACTGCTATGGAAAGTACACCCTTTACTCCTAGATTTGCTTTAGCTGCAGTGTTGGTTGTAGCTGTGCTATGATTTACTACATTGAAAGTTTCTTGTTGTCCACAAACAAGGTAGCAGACTTAAGGAGCACAAAAAATGATCAAATGAGCAGAAGACATGTCAGGCCTGAATTACAGCTCTTCACCAGTGGAGGGTTGCACCAGGATATTATGACTCCACAGAAAGGCAGACGAAAGATTACAGTGCAGTCTGAGGGCAGTTATCCCTTTGCAATGTAGGAAATTAAATCTATAGTTGGCTGAATACTTTTGAATTCAAATAACTTTTGGAAAAAAGAAACTTCAGCTGACACTTCAAGTGTACTCATTGTCTGTACTCTTTTGTAGTCTGTGACTGCTTCATACAAGTTCCACAGAATAGGATATTAGATATATAACCAATAAAAAACATCATTTAATGTCATAATTGAAAACTAAACATTCGTAAAATCACTCAAGAATACTACCAACATTGATTTTGCAAGATAAATATGGATTAAATTTTACTAGAAAGATTACTCAGATTGGTATCATTTGACTGACCCCACTTTAACCCTTTAACTCCCATGAGTGACCAAGACAGAATTTCACCTCACTATATCTATACAATATTATGTAGACAAGTAATGAGAATAAAGAAGAATATCAATTATGGGATTACTAATTGATCCGATACCAAATTCTTCATACTAACATAATGAAAATCATTTGGCAGACAGTAAGGAGAATTACCAATGAGATCTTGGGAGTTGAAGGGTTAAGTGACCAATCAAGAAAGGTGGGGGGACAATTCAAAAAGGCCATGGGAACTCTGTTAAGGGTGACCACACCCACTTACCCCTTTACATGCTAACATCAGTGTGCACATTCTCCATACTGTTATCTATACATTTCCTAAGGTAATGACAAGGAGAAATTGTTCAACAATCAAGAGCTCCTTTGGTTGGTGATCATTTCCTTCATTCTCATGATCTCAAATGAATGATTCAGCAGTATTATTGTCAGGAGAAACTAGATGCTGGTCACTCTTGGGATTTAAAGGGTCAATAAAGATGAAAATTACAGTAGGTTAAGGGGTACAGATTTTGGGACTTTGAAAACTGTCCAGTGCTGTGGTGACCACTTAATATGGTGCCTTTCACAACAGGTTCAACTGTAATAAATACATTTTGTCAGACAGAGATGGTGTAGTCATTAAATTAATGGTCAGCAGTAACTTGACTGAGCAATAAATGACAACATAAGAAGCTACGGTGGCCCACAACTGTCACGGCAAAACAAAAAGTCACAGCACTACAAACTTTACTCAATGCAAAACAAAATTAACTCAAGGCAAAACAAAATTTACTCATGGCAAAACAAAGAAAACGAGTTGGTCAGCGGTCATTATTTACATCTGAAATGGTACATCATGTAACAGTAACACACTGCTTGCTCGAAAAACCACCATTTTTCGAGCTCATAATCTTTTGCTCTGCATGTGGTTCGGTAGTAGATGAAGATGCAAACTTTTGTAAAAGCTGTGGTAGAGGTACATTTCTTAATTTAAAGTGTTCGTATTTGCATTTCTTTTAGTTCCAAATAACAATAGGTGTGAGAAGAAACTGCTACAAATTAGCTGATTAGCATGTGTCTGGAATAAGATTGTGCATGTAGCCTGTGTGTAAAAATAAAACATTCATAATGTATGTGCCTTGATGAATTAAGGATTTTTCAACAGGTGGAAAAAAAACAATGAAGCAAAATAATGTAACTTACACCTCTAGTATTGAGAGGAAACTTTACTTTCAACAGTGTTATTTCCTTAAGTCTGTTTAACATCAATAAAACTCAAGATAAATGATTTTAGAAAACCTAATTTTTCAGGTTTCCCTGTTCTAATGTTTGTTTTCCATATTTGGTATTGTACACTTTTCTGTTTAACCTCTTGATCTAGCTGTGTTCTCTGACTGTTTGCAGGCGTACAGTATTTTCCACCAGTTGAAAAATCCTTATTTCATCAAGGCCTATACATAAAGAATGTTTCATTTTTAACTCGTGAATTGCGCGCATGCGCAAGAGCGAGTTGTAGATACGATGTGGGGAATGGCACTCGCTCGCTCCCTCGGTCGATTCCTGTAAACTTTTTTTCAATTTTAGGCTTTTGAGTGCATTTGATAGTTTTTGGCGAGCAATAAACAAACGAAAATTGACCTTTGTTGCTAAGAATAGTGGTGGGGTGAAAAAGAAGCCAATAATAATCTTAAAAGAGTTTTTTTTTTCGTTTTAGTTTCAACAAGCGGCGCCGGCGACTAGCAGGCATGCAAGGATTCACACTGAAATAACAGAACAACCTTCGTTTTTCATAAAATTGTAATTTACAATCCTTTAACTTGAAAACAATCCGAAGATTCATTGAAAATATCACTTACTGCGAAGTGCTCGGAGTTTACAGATGTTCAAAAGCCTTTTCTGTTATGGCGTGAGATTGGGGACAAAATCGATCATTACGTTTCGTATCGTGTGTTTTTCCTTTGTGAAGCAACGAAAGATGCCGGCGACTGACGAAATTACAAGTTCGCACGAAATCAAATAACACCTAAACAAACAATTTTAGCTACCGATTTTCAGTGAATTTTTAAAGAACAATTTTCTTTTAAGTTTCAAGACAATTTGAAGATTCAAAATACATATTACGTACTAAAATGCGAAAGTGATACTCCACAAAATTGATAAATAGGCGTGAAATGAAATTCTATCTTGTTATTGATTACACGTTGCCCAGCACGTGACTAAAACCTACCCAGGCGGAGATCCAAAATGACGGTGGCAGTCTTGGCCTAGTTATATCACTCAAAACTCGTTCCCGTTTGTCTCATTTGATAAAGAGGGAATCGTTAATGTTTTCATTAAGACAGTATTGCCTTGATTTTCTAATATTTACAATGATAGACAGTAAATTTAACTTTTCACCCACATTTACTTCCAACCTTTTCTTTTGAACCAGAAACAAAAAAGGATATACTTTAAAACACATGACATCATCCACCCTTGTCAAATGTAATAGCATGATCATTTCAATTGTAATGCCTTCTTATTCCAACGTTACTTTATTTCTTTGTTACATTAGCGAACACTGAACTACTGCTCGTACTCTAGATATGACAATCAACCACAAAATTCCCTAACCCAGATAACATTAAACATAATCCAAAAAATCATGTGTCAATTCACGAGTTTGCTCACAGAGCACTTTGATTACACACAGGCTACATGCACAATCTTATTCCAGACACGTGCTAATCAGCTAATTAGTAGCAGTGTCTTCTCACTCCTATCGTTATTTGGAACTAAAAGAAATACAAATACGTACACTTTAAATTAAGAAACGTACCTCTACCACAGCTTTTACAAAAGTTTGCATCTTCATCTACTACCGAACCACACGCGGAGCAAAAGATCGTGAGCTCGAAAAATAGCGGTTTTTCGAGCAAGCAGTGTGTTACTGTTACACGACGTACCATTTCAGATGTGTAAATTACAACCGCTGACCAACTCGTTTTCTTTGTTTTGCCGTGAGTAAAATTTGTTTTGCCTTGAGTTACTTTTGTTTTGCCGTGAATAAGTAGTGTTTTGCCGTGCATTAGTAATGTTTTGCCGCGAGTTAATTTTGTTTTGCCGTGAATAAGTGGTGTTTTGCCGTGAGTTAATTTTGTTTTGCCGTGAATTAGTAATGTTTTGCCGTGAGTAAAGTTTGTAGTACCGTGACTCTTTGTTTTGCCGTGACAGTTGTGGGCCACCGGAAGAAGCAAGTTGATGAAAATTAATAAATCTGTTTTCCCAATGGCAATATATTGTTTTAGTCATTGTTTTCTCTATTCAAGAACTGAATGCATAATGAAGTATGGGGCTGTGCGGAAATTTTACCAAAATTAATAACTACATTTTACTACTTTCCTTAAAAAATACTTAATTGCACATGGTGCAAACCTTATCATTCCCAATGTGAGATACAAAATGCACAATACTATACTAACAATGCAAAAAGCAATACTCCATTCATGTGCTATGATTAAAATATAAAAAGTCAACTGTAACTTTGCAGCATTTCCTAAACAGGAAGGCAAACAACTAGTATTTCACAATACAGCAAACTGATGTGCAAAAGCAGCTAGTGTATCTACCACTATTTGTTATTTTTATTTGATTTCTTGTTTTTATTTTGTTTTGTTTTGTTTTTTATATATATATTAATTTTTTTTGTTATTAACCTTATCCTCTTTTTTATTTTTATTTTCTTCATTATATATTTTTTTGGCATTTCCTTTTCTGTAATTCAATTTGTAATGTCTACTGTAGCCTGCTTCTTTACTCTATTCTTCTTCTGGAAGTTAATTTCCATTACTTTTATTACTGGAACCTCATACACAAAATTTGATCACATTTTCATGGTATTTGTACCTCAAAGAATCCTTCAGTATTATGCTGGGTTTTCAACTACAGATATACCTAACGTATGCTGCCTACACTTTCCTGGGAGCACAAGACATCCAAGAGGCATTTATGGATGTAGATATTTACAATCGGGTATGCATGAAGGAGCACAAATAGAATAAGGCTGAGAGAAAAATTGTTCATGGTGTATTAACAGTATTTTGACTTTGATAAAATCCACCTATGGCCTTGCAAATGTCATGTCGTCCTAGTTCAGAGTGAATAACTTGTATCAATTCCTTAAGAGAGGGAACTTTCTCCATTGTATATAAATACCTCAGCAATACCCTTGCAGGACTTCCTCCCTCTCTGTCCTCTTCTGCCTTAATCTTATAAAGATCTGATTCTGGAATTCCAATAGTACGACCCACATCCCACCAGTTTGGCAAAGGAGCCATTTTTGCATTCAACAATGTGATGAGGTTGGTTTCAACTCTATATGGCAGTGAATCATCAAGTTTTATGACTGAAAAAAGGGGCATAAGTTAACTATAAAAAATTGTAAATTATATGAGGTCTTACAACCTAGTTATCTATAATTAATATGATATTAAAAGTAATAACCAAAACTAATAATAACTATAATGATAATACTGATTGTTGTGATGATGTTGAAATTTACTCTTCTTTGTCAAGTTTAATTTACATAACTTAGAGTGATATATACATATTTTAATCAAAACAAGTGAAATTTCTCTGAATTAATCATTAATTTCCTTGAAGATGCAACATTGAAAAAATGATAACCTAGTTTTTAAAGTGCTTAAAAATATCATAGTCTGTACAAGTTGTATCAAGATTAATAGTGGCATTAACTCAGCTTGAAATGCTTTAAAGTATGGAGGAGCCATAAGGTAGCACATCTTGAGAATGGACATTGTATCATTGAACAGAGTAACTTTCAATTGAGTCTCTGAACAATCAAGTATTATATTCCATTTTGTTTTATTTCATTGTGATTGCCACCCTCCAAACCAATCATTCTTCCCAACACATCAAACACAATTTGTTTGTTTTTACTTTGAGCTATCTTCTGCTTATTTGCTCCTAGCAATATTTTCCTTCGCTGTCAATCAATCAATCAATTGCTAGACTTGAGGCGAGCATGTTACAGTACTGAAACTGATGACCTGTGGCACTGTAATTCATTGTTGTGATTATTTTGGTTTTTATTTAACAAGACTTAACCTATCCATGTGCTTCTTCTCTTTTTTTTTAAATATACACTTAAAATAGTATACTATTTGGGTTCCTCACTTACCTTCGGGTATGACATTAAGTTTTTCCTGGCAGGAATTAGAGCCCGTAAGAGAAGATTTCCTCTCTATAGAAAAAAAATTCATTGTTGTGATTATTTTGGTTTTGATCTAATGAGACTCAACCTATTCATGTGCTTCTTCTCTTTTTTTTAACAACATGTACACTTTAAATAGCATACTATTAAGGTTCATCACTAACCTTTGGGTAAAATATTAAGCTTTTCCTGGCAGGAATTAGAGCTTGTAAGAAAAGGTTCCCTCTCTATAGAAAAAAAATTTCATTGAGAATAAGAAAAAAAACAACAAAAGAGAAACTTATTGTATGTATACTTAATTGACCACTCCCACAAAGAGGCTTTCTAGAGCCAATACAAATGAATGAACAAATGAATGACTTAATAAATATACAGTCATGTAGTATTGAAAAATCCCGACTGGCAAGAGGTAAGCCAGTTGACTGTATATGAAGTGCAGGTAAAGAGTTGAACTTGAACACTAAACTGAGAACAAACCCAGTGAGTAGCAAGGTGGAGCACTTGAATCCAGGACCACCAAATTACAAGCCCAATGCCTTAACAACTGACCACACTACTCTGTCATAAAAAGTAATGGTAATAGGACTGACTGAAGTAAAATTCAGTCTGTAATCATGCAACTGATAACAAAATCGGACAACCATGTAGCACTGAAGTCTGAATTGTTTATCACAAATATGATTACAGACAGAATTAGACAACATAAAGTCTTATTACCAATTAATCATAAAAGTCTCTATTTCCAAGAAAGAAGAATAGCCAAGTTAAGAAAGAAAGAGAAAATTTGCATTAAAAGACTGACAAAGGAGGTTTAAATTGTTTCGTTGTTTGTTGGTTGATTTAAACTACAACTTTGAATGTGAGTGGCTTATAGAACTGTCCAATAATAAACTATCCTATACCAACTTGGCTGGTGAATAAGTGGAAAATAAAAGTTTTTTTTAACCGATCACAATCAAGAGAATTGTAATTTTTATGACTGTAGAAGTAATGATAGCACTAAGAAAATAAGCAAGCAACTCTAACAAAGTCAGTATGAAAAGTGAAGGATGACAGATCATTTAATATGGTTATACACAATGTAAGCAACCACATTTGTTACCATTTTATAATAAATTTACCTGCTGAAGAGCTATGTGTAGGTACACTCTCAACAAGATTCTCTAGCTGAATAGAATCTTCACTTTGTGGTGACTGCTTCCTTCTCTTCAAAGCTAACCAGCCCAAGAATACAATAACTGTTATACACCATCCCAGAAGAGAAAACAATGTTATGTGTAAGCTATCAAAGGACTTAACAGCACCCTGCTTTTCTATTAGACTCATATTTTTGGATAATGAGCAATTCATTTGTGTGTCACTGCCTTTCAGTAAAGAGCTATTTGATAGCACTGTACAGTTGCAGTCACGTCCACTTGATGTAAGATTTTTATTTGGCAGATCGTTGCATGGTTTTGATGATCTCCTACAATGTTTCTCGCCTTTTCCTCCAATCACTGTACCAGGTGTTAATTTTATACACTGTGACTCAATGTTAATGTTGTCACCTTCACAGCACTCAGTACATCGATGACATTCTTTGTCACTGCTATTAAAGTAGTAATCATTTGAAATGCACTTATCAGCACATTCTCTGTCCTTCACAGATAAGCAAGGACTAAGTTCAAGTTTTTTACCACAAGCAGTACACTTGTGGCACTTGATATTTGTTCCCTTGTTTGAGTAGAAATTCTGCTGACAGCTTCGACAGCTTATGTCTGTCCCCATGGGATGCGTTGAACCAGGTTCCACTGTTGGCTCCTGCCCATCAAGGCATTCAGGAAAAGGCCAGCATTTATAGTTGGTGGTGTTTTGCTTCTCATATAGCTCAATTTCATCTTTTTTTTCACATCTATTGCTATATCCCTGCACTACTAAAACAGTCTGCAACAAAGAACATTTTAGTGTAAAAAAGTTCATTGATTTTCAGTTCTTAACTCAGATTAATAATGGCAAGATATTGGATCAGACTAGTGATTCTCTTTTTTCTGGTCATTTTTGCCATATATCAGTCTTCAAATTGCATTTTTTTTTTAACAACAGTAATCATATACTGCTTTAATTCCCACACTCCCAACAATGACCCAGCTCCTGAGCAAACTTTACACCTTTAACTGAAATCTTTAGCTATATGAACCACACCCAGGTTTAAATGATAAGTGCACAATTTTGAAATGGTGTAAAAAGTTTGTCAGAGCCATAGTTTTTTCAAGGTAACAATAGCCCACAACCCCAACAATTTTTGAAAAATTAATTTAGAAAGTAACAAGTATATGTACATCTACTTACAATTGTACTATAGGCATCTAATTACTTTAGAAATGAGTGAAAGTTGGTGCAGTCCTTGACCATAAAATGGGTGACTGAAGTAATGAATACAGTTTCTCAAGATTATACTCTTAATTTCGGAATGTTGTTAAAAAAAAATTACTTAATATAAATTAATCCACCTTTCTTCATTCATACATGAATTCTTAGGGGAAAAAGGCCCAGGTCATACTAGGGAGGTTCTGATCAATAATCTGTCAAAAAAGGATTAATGTCTGTCATCACAGCGCGTTTCCTTATGCGACCAGTGTTTCACAAATTTCTAAAATTTCGGAAAGTCCACAGAAACTTCAAAGACACCGAAGTGTATGGGTGGGGCAGCAGCATGGGTGGACGTTCTACTTTTTATTATGTGGCGGGATTGTTCCTAAGCCAAAATTTTCATCATTTCAACCCTACATTGGCTGGACCGATCTTAGATCAAGCGAGACCCAGCAGAATTTTGCTTAGGCAGTCCAATAGTCCAGAAAGTGTGGTTAGTGAGAGCGATGAGCCTGACCAGCTCCAGGTCAGCTGAAGGTTTGGCAGACAAAGAAAAAAAAAACAATACAACAAATGGCCGCAAGAAGAGTAAAGGGCTCATTAGTAACAAATATCAAACCATGATTCAGCTGGGCAGGGAATGGTTCGTGTGTAAGGCACAACAAGAATTCTACGTAATGCCGCCATCTTCTTAGAAAAGCGACATTCAAGATTTGCATGTATTCATTTACCCATCTCTGATACAGGATGAAAAGGCACACATTTGCTGTTGCTGCATGTCAATAATTTGTAGAAGTAGAATGGCAAAAGCAAAGCAAAATGCCTGATTTGGGTTCATGTTTAGTACTGCACAATATGTACCAGACATGAAATCTAATCAACTGTGTTTATTTTAACGTATTTGTGTATTTTGGTAGTGCAACTCAAAAATTGAGTCACATTTTTCAGCTCTTTCGGTTGCGGTTTCAACTTTTTGAAAATTTTTTGACAGCCTAATTTTTGGTTTGGGCAGTAGAGCGACCTGGGCCTAACTTAACTAGCCCCAGGTCTCCATGCTGCACCTGGCTAAGAGTTGACTGACATTTGGTTGACATATGATCACATTGTTTTGTCCGTTTGATTATTTAAATTGTTTCTTTACTGACGCCCTCACGAGATAATTTTTTGGGGAAACCATTTCCACAGATGAGCCAATTCTTTAAAAAGCACGTCATGGTTAAACGTGAAATAGTAAATAAGATCGGCGAATTAAATTTTCAAGTTCATTAAATATTCATCTACATCAGCTTCATTCCGATCGTTCTTTAATAATTACACGATGCCTTTTTACAACGCAACCCTCCAATCAATAAATCACGTATCACCCCAATTACTGCATTCACAGGCAGTAAATTAACAGGTTCCATACGAGATGATTTCTAAGAGCGGTTAAGCGATCGTAATAAGACATGATAGCATTCTGAAGGAGTGAGTCTCGGAGTGGACGTGACCAAACGTCACCATGAGTTCAAAATAATAATGAAGACTTGAGGGAATACAATTTTAAGCTCGCCATGCGATGTCTTTCGTGATCACGGTTGATGAAAATAACAACCAAGAATTTTACAATTTTACCGATTAACGTGAAGTATTGTGCGGGAAAAAAAATGCGAGCTCCGCTTTTAGGCTTGGCTAAATCTATATCTATGAAGACTTGAGGGAATAAAATTTTAAGCTCGCCATGTGATGTCTTTCGTGATCACGGTTGATGAAAATAACAACCAGGAATTTTAAAATTTCACCGATTAATGTGAAGTATTAAAAAAGAATGGGTAGAACTCACGGCAGTGATCAGAAGTCCCGCGAGTATTTTTTCTTCAACTTGAGCTAAGTCTTTCATCCTGAGAAGGTGTCTAAGTTCTGTGCCTCTTCCACGCTGCTTTCAAATTAACGAGGAATGTTTCCGTTTGCAGGTATTGAAGAGGCTCTAAACGTCCAGAAGGTGTGTTGAAAAGAAGTGCGAAGTTTCAATGGCCGAATCAACCTGTAGAAGTCATTGACACGCTAAAAACGCTGACTGAGCTAAACATGTACGAAATGCTGAGTCATTTGGCAACCATACCGCTGACAAGGAGTCAAAATGACCCTGGGCTCGAGATTGCACGAAATATTGCAGGTCAGCATTACTATTGCAGGAATCGTCGAAGCTACTGTAAAAAGAGGACCTGAGCCTTGCCGCTTTAACGCCTTCCTGCACAATTTATTGACCAATCCTAGGAGAAGTCAGTAGCAATGCAATCTGTAACCTACGCAAGGATCTGGATTTCCTTTCCACATCCCCACCGTGTTTCTCTCGTATCTTCGAGAGCACCAAAAATACCATATAAGAAATCGAACCAGAAATTCGTATCTAACACTTTACAGAATTGAGAAGCTATCAGTCTAAAAATAATGTTCATCCGGTGGGACTGGATTAATGGCCGCTTGACGATTGTGGTTACGCCAAACGAGCAATACATAAAAAATTACGCTTGTGCATTTGCCGAAAACATTAGCTAAGTTATAAGCACAAATGCTGAACAAAATTTTGGCTTGTTATTCGAACTTTTGCCCTCCAATGACATGACTGGAAGGAGAACGATGAACAATGAATGTCGTTTTGAAGACGTTGCATTGTCGATCTGGTGTTAATGGTGACCTTGTGACATCTCAACTTCACTTTAAGGGTATTCGGCTGGTTGATGAATTGTTGTGCGCTCTACAGTTTCATTCACAGGTCTTAATTCGTTAATGTACTACCAGTAACAATACAATGGCCATTGTGTTCAATGTCCCCTATAACGGATTCCTCATTGTCCTTACACCAGGTGAGTGTCGTGTGGTACACGGAACAGAACATTTGCATCGTAAAACAAATTACGCTTAACACATAGACGGACTCGAATCGCGCCAAAACTCTCTCTGTTGTTATATTACCTACTTTATTTTCATTTGTCCTTCTCCCTTTTGGCTTGATAATGTAGTAAAGCAACTTGAAACGTCGTCAAAACATTTTACTAACAGTTTTTGGAACTTTTGAGAGTTTATTTACTTTATTAATGCCCTAGCTTTGAACTTTTCCATCAAATATTCAGCGAGTTTGTTTCTTTCTAAAATCAAGCGCACTTTGTTGTTTTGAATAAATTATCTTTGGACGTAATTGGCGCGCTTTTCTCTTTGCCTCCGCATAAATTTTGAAAAGCGTGATTCGCGCGCTTTGCTTCCGCATGATTTTGAAAAGCTATCTCAACTTTCTGTAATGTTTATTTTCAAATCGTAGTCACTCATTTTTTCTCGTGTAATGTATAATATTTAATAGATAATTACTGAGGTTCGCAGCATTATACCCAATAATGCTGCGAACCGAAGTAATTAACTATTATAATTATTGACCCTCCTAAAATCCTATTGTTCTCTCTCTGCATTACATCGACGATTTCAGTCGCCCCTTCATATTGATGTTTTGGTACACCAACAATGCAACTGGCAAGCATTGTCCAGTAATAATACAAATTGCATAATCCTTTTTCATTCCCCAATTCAGCCATTGTTAACTACTTGCAAAGATGATATAATCATTGACTCTCATGAATTCCTACTATTTTCTCTCTCCAACAATGCAATTAGCACGTATTGTCTAGTAGTTATACAAATTACATAACCCTTTTCATTTGCCGGAATTTAGTCATTGTTAAATCCTTGTAAAGATTATGTAACTTTCCGCATCTTTCAGGTGTGTGATTGAATTTCATGCAAACGTAATTTGCATTGTATATTAACGCAATGCACTTGGTTATTTGAGTTGTTTGTTGGAAGGCAAAGAGTTGCTACTGTTTTGAAGCTTGATGGAGGATTCTTCGGAAGACGAATCTGCCATTTTCATAACGCAGAGCCAGAGGTCGGAAAATGCCGCTGCCGTTGCCCTTCGACGAAGTTGCGCCACACGATTGTACGAAGGTGGTGTGCCAGAACAAGTTATTGTAGAAACCACTGGTCACCGATCATGTGATGGGGTTAGGGAGTATAAGTGTACCTCATCAACACTTAAAAGGAAAGCAAGTGAAATCTTGCAGGGAGCGACTCCTAAGAGGGCAGAAATAGACGTCAAGGAAAAAAATGAAAAACTGTTTAACAATGATGTTGAGCAAAAATATGATGGACAAAGGGAAGAAACAGGGTTACAGGGGTTAAGCGAAAAGGTTTTAGACGAAAACCAGAGCGAAGATTATAATCAGTCAGTTGTAATTAGTACTCACAGTACGAAAATTGTTATTTCTTACAAGTGAGAAAGACTGTCATTGTCAGATGTGCCCTAAATAAACTGTAAAATGTTTTCGTCTGTACGTCTCCTGGAATGGTACTTCTCATGGTGTATTCATTTACTTTTTAACTTCAGATCTTCATCATAAATTATGCGCGGACATTCGCGAATTTTCAAAAATTACTGAGTGGAAAAGTAACGAAGTAAATACCACAGTCATGCAGCAATATTAAAAATATTGCTGGAAGCAGGCTGCATTATTAAAAATATTGCAGTGCAGCCAGCCCACTGCAATATTGAACGTTTTAGCGCGTTTAGGATTACCCCTGATAATTTCCCTGCTACCAAAAAGGACCGCCACCGTTTTCCTCAGACAGTTGGACTTGACTGAATATGAATACTTTCTCAGGCTGAAATCGCCGATATAATGCTGAGAGAACAATAGGATTTTATGAGGGTCAGTAATTATATAAGCACTAGTAACTTTTTTAAAGAGTACAAATTGTGCCTGCTCATCTAACTCTTCCAATTTTGTTAAATCATGTTATCACCTTTACAAAGCGGATCCTTTATTAAATGTTTTTTTGTTAACTCTTCAGTTAAATGCCATCGCACTTGACTGAAAAGCCCATTTAACTCCCAGAATCCGATAGTAAATTCTCTCCTCTAGCCACATGACATTTCTTTGAAAATTAGTCACAAGAATTTGGTGTCAAGATCACAACGTCTTACTTATAAGTTTGAGTATTCTCATTACCTGACTGCGGGATAATGGTATGGATATCATAGGGAGAAGTTATATGTTAATCGCTTCAGGTTAATGTGTTAATTGGTGGTGCACCCAGAAATAATCAATTTGAAGCGACCCAGCAAACTGGCTCATTTATTATCCATAGCTCAAGCGATAAGTGATAAGGTTAAAATCATTTGTAAATAATTTAGTAACAGCATTACTATGTAGATGCTGCTCGAAAAAAGGTAAATTGAATAGATATTCAAAATTCTCAGTAAGTTTTAGAAGTTGTGATACCGAAAAAGGTAGGAAATTTACTATCAGCCAAATATCTCATACCTTGTATGGAAGGGGAAGAGGAGGTCTTGCAGTTGTTGGGCGTTGCTTCGAGTTTTAAGGCAGTCTGTTTGAGTGAGTAACACTCCTTACAGAAAAAAGGTTTGTCCTATCACATAGAGAAAATAAACCACGGCCATAATTCTTAAAGTAACATTTCAAATTGCTATCGTCTTTAGCTACGCCATCACGCTTTATCAATCAGGTGATCTTTATTTTCCCAAAAGAAAATCCTTTTTTAAGGCGGAGCGTGCTTCGGCATGTAAAACACGTGCGCAGACAGCACTTATAACCTACCAGTAAAAATTTTAATTTCAGTTCAGTCGGGTAACAGACAATGCAGAAGAGAACTTACACCAAAAACGTTCTTTTCTCATTCATCAGATTACTCACAGCGGGTATCTCGTCGTTCGAGTCTTCATGCATGCCCCACTGAATTTGTTAGGCAAAATCACGGGCTTAAAAGTATATCATTTCATAGGACTTAATTCATAGAACCTTTCAGTCAATGGCGCTGTATTCGGAACCCTTCGCATCCGAGATGTAATTTACTGGAGTATGGCGAATTATGCTGTCATTTTCGAGCATAATCATTTTTAATTTAATATGTCATCATTTTTTGGGGGGGGGCTCTGAACCTTTTCTTCTCCTCGTCCATTAACAAGGATTGGTTACCTTCTTCAATTTCGAAACCATTGTCTTTGATTTCATGGACAGTGTCTGAACAATAACCATGAATATTAAAAAAGTTGTGAACTTAGATTTTGAAAAGTGAAGATTAAACAAAATTTCAGTCAGTCATGAAAAAGAAAATTGCTTCATAACACGTAGAATATGGCCGGGATGCTCCAATAACTACACTGATGCCTTTACAAACATTTAATTTTGCAAACAGCAGGATTCTCGCCCGCTTATCTTTTTTAAGAGTGATTACAGATGAATCCTAAGATCGTGGCAGACTCTTATCAAAATCACGTTCGCTTTTGTCATATTCTCATGTAACACTGTAACCCCACTGAGAGTGACTAGAATCTAATTTCTCCATACTACCTCAGAGCCAATGCATGCAATGCAATAGGGTCTGTTGATATTAACGTTTAAAATCATCTCTTTTGACTTTTCCCTACTTACATGCAATTCACTTCAAGAACCAACTCCCTTTCAAGCGAGTTTTTCCCTTCGAACAGACATGGTTCATCCAAATAAAAGACTATTCGTGTTCAAATTTCTTTTGAAATAGATATTGTTTGAACAAGATGTTCTTCAGTCTACGGTGCAAAGTCTATGTCTATGTAAAACTATGCACAATGTTCTAAGTTGAGATTTACCTATCAAATTTGCCTTGGCCCAATATATGCTCTATTGTCGATTTATGGTCTGAACAACACCATTTGGGAAAAAAAGGGCAAAACAAAAACAAGATAAAAGATAAAACAGCGCTTTCAGTATAAAAGCCGAATGGCAAGCATATTCATGATTCCTTTTATAGTGTTCCCTCTGTAGACAATGACAGATGTTCTTTCCGAAGCACTCGTGTTATGTTTAACCCCCCACCGATGTGCCTTAAGGAACCACTCATTAGTTATCAACTGGAAGTGGAGGGGGGAAGGTTGGGTTATTTCTTTGCGGGGGGGGGGATCTCACGGGTATTCAGAGGGAACAGACAGGGGAATAGTGATCGTAAATAGAGTTAAAGCCATGAGTATAGCAAATTGACTGCTAGTGAAATGCTAATAACGGGGGATTATTAGAATAGAACAGAACCTCAGAGGGTAATCAGGTCAATTTTATCGTGGCACAACCAAAATCCTAAAACCCCTCCCCCCCTACCCAGGTGATAAATAATGACCGGTTTCTATATCTAGGCAAGGTCGCTAAAAAGTGCCATGTCATATCAAAGGTATTTTATGTATTTTTGTGCCTTTTTTTAAAAACCTTCCAGTTAATAAGGTCAGACACTATAGCTTCAGCCTTAAGCCCCTTTTGACAGCAACTAAATCAAATGAGATACGTATTTGCACTTGCTTCCTTTGCTTTGTTTCCTGTTTCTTTCCTAGGTGGAAAACAGAGACGTGCTTTATGACGGTAGGTCAAACTTCGATAGAACATGTGAGGAATCAAGAAAACGCAAACTGATCAATATTTCAGTAACTGAGTGGCCGTTTCTTGATGGCCTAATATAACCGAATGTCCCTATAATTAACGAGAACAAGTAACAAGAACGAGAGTGAGAAATAGGGGGCTTAGTAAGAAGGGTGACGTACCCAGGTGATAAATAATGACCGGTTTCTATATCTAGGCAAGGTCGCTAAAAAGTGCCATGTCATATCAAAGGTATTTTATGTATTTTTGTGCCTTTTTTTAAAAACCTTCCAGTTAATAAGGTCAGACACTATAACTTCAGCCTTAAGCCCCTTTTGACAGCAACTAAATCAAATGTGATATGTATTTGCACTTGCTTCCTTTGCTTTGTTTCTTGTTTCTTTCCTAGGTGGAAAACAGAGACGTGCTTTATGACGGTAGGTCAAACTTCGATAGAACATGTGAGGAATCAAGAAAACGCAAACTGATCAATATTTCAGTAACTGAGTGGCCGTTTCTTGATGGCCTAATATAACCGAATGTCCCTATAATTAACGAGAACAAGTAACAAGAACGAGAGTGAGAAATAGGGGGCTTAGTAAGAAGGGTGACGTATAAGAGAGGGGGCTTTGAAGAGAGGGCTTGAGAAGAGGTAGAAAAGGGGACCTACTATTGTTCAAGCATGTGGTTTCAGTAAAGGAGAGTGACACCTGTGCAAATTCCTTTGAGAGAAAAATAGTGTAAGTGGTATTTCGTTCCACCCAAATGAAAAAATAGTCAGCTTTTAGATGAAGGTAATCTTGTTTATTCCCGCCATTGTTATATTATTTCTGTAGCATTTTTAAATTTACTTTACTTGCACAACAACTAGACAAATCTTGATTTTTGAAGAGTAGCTTAACCCCCCCCCCCCCCCTCCCTCACAATTCGTTTTCAAGTCGATTTGAAAACGAGCAATATCTATATTTTTGGCAATTATGTAACCATTATAGTCAGAGAGAACTAGGGAAAAGTAGTGGTGAGTATTAGTATTAGTGTTAGTGTCTTTCGAGCCATTAGTTTTAGTAAGTATTTCAAGTATCAGTTACGGGTGTAGTGCTAATAAGACTGTACTGAAAAGGTAATAATAGTATTGTTTAAGCTTTTTTATTGTCATTATTGATAGTATTAAATGTGTGTTAACTGAATTCAAACAAAACAGATGAGCAACGACTAAGTTCTAATCTTTTAACTGGGACCAGCTTAAACTGGGAGGTACTTTTGTGGCAATCCTGCAGAGCAGACGTCATATTAGGGCGAGTTAACGTTACAAGCTCGCAATCGTTTGTTCGACCGGCTATGTTTGAATTACATTTGGAGTGCCTCCTCTCTCCTTCAAAGCCGAGAGTACCTCGCTGACTTCAGATTATTGCAAAGTTCTGCTAACAAAGTCAAAATGTTGCGTTAGAGATGCGATGCTCTCTTTCCTGGTCATTTTTGAGATAAATCAGCATCAATTCTATGCCATTTTTAAAAAAAATTTAAACAACAGTGATCATAACCTGACTTCAGTTACGCACAGCAATGACTCTACTCTACTGCAGCGACCCTTGAGAATTGGGACTTACTAATACTGAGCTTAAGGAAACAAATCCTAGACTTAAACAACTTTGAAAGAAATGCAAGACTTTGTGACTGAAATTAATTTCTCTTAAATGAGAATTCAAGACCCATTGAAGAGACCAATGCGATTTTAAAAGACGCAGACTGAAATAGCAATTTTGATCCTGAGTGAGCCGACCGCTGAGAACAGTGTGTAAACCATGAAATAATACTTCGGCGTTGAAGCCGCTGATTATTTCATCATTGCATTAACGACTCACTGCATAATTTATTGACCGATCCTCGAAATGAAGTCTTTTTGGACTTCGCAAGGACTTTCGACAGTCTAAAATTCCTAATATGTGTAAGACTCTGGATTCAACAGAGTTTTCTCTCCTGGTTCCACGCCGTTTTTCTTTCTTACCTCCGAGTCATCAACCATACAATCTTTCAAGGAATCGAATGAAAAACTCGTAGGCAACACGACAGGATTGAAAAGCGATCTGAAATTTCTGTTAACCCTTTAACTCCCTTGAGTGACCAAGACAGAATTTCTCCCTACAATATCAATACAATATCAACCAGATAAGTGATGAGAATAAAGAAAAATATCAATTTGGGGATAATTAGTTGATCCAAGGGATTATAAGAATTGTATGGTTGACAGTAAGAAGAATTACAAATTTGTTATGTGAGTTAAAGAGTTAACCCTGTAGCACTGTTTAGAACGGCTACTTGAGGTGGGTTACGCCAGACGATTTATGCACAAGGTCAAGAAGTGAAATTCCTTGTCTCCTCCGCAGGTGTTTTTGGGATGTTTAGGCAGGGGCTAGGAGGGAGGGGCAGCGGGGGTGTTACGTGACATCTTGATAGATTGGCTGCACGAGGAGACAATCATCACCTATGACTCACAGTTATCAGCACGTCAGGAATAGGTGTCAGGTGTCACCATAAATTCATAATTTGTCATAATCACTTGAGATCTGTTTTAAATGATCAGGATGATGATACCGTAACTAATGTAACATAAGCCCTGCCCCATGTGGGAACATAAAACTGTGCTAACTGTACTTCACTGTGCAGAGAGATAACTTTTCTGCTCTGCTTAAAATGATTTGTGGGTATTTGCTTGCTCTCCTACTTTCTGTTTGGAGTCTCAAGTAAACTTGAGACTTGGTCGTAGGTCTGCATCTAATGAAGTGGACTTTCACGCAGATAGTGTGTTTAAATTGGCCATCACAAACAAAGAAAAGCTAGTCAAACAATTTTGTACTGACCTTTACTTTAACCCTTTTTCCCTAAAAAACTGATACACTTCATACAAAATTGAGCACATAGTGCAACATTATGACTCCCAATATGAGATACTCAAATACAAATGCAAATCTCACATTCTATGCAAAAAATACATTTCAAATGTCTATTAACAGTAACTGTAGCTCTTGCACATAAGGTAATGGAAGGTATATAGTCCAATGAAAAATGCTGACGAGACAGGAAACTAGCTCTGTTCACACTGTTACAGGACTTTTAGGTCTAGTGTTGCAAACTAATTAACTAAATTGTATTTACGTTAGTTTACACCGGGGTTTCATTGACTATTTCTGGTGTTTGATTTTGATAGAATTCCACAACATTTTTACAAATATCATGTCGCCCTAACTTATCTGCTATTTCTACAAATTTTCTGATGGTTGGAACATCATGCCATGTACTTAAAATACTGATTATAGTTTTTGTTGGACTTTCCCCTTGATCAACATTTTCAAGCTGTGAACGTGAAATTCCAATTTTGCGACCAACATCCCACCAGTTCTTTGCATTGGTCTTCTTTGCATCTAGTTTTTGGATGAGGATGACTTCCACATCATATGGTACTTCATCAATTTGAACTTCTGTGTTCAAACAAAAACGAACATAATCAGCCCTGCAATGTGTATTCAAAAGAGGTGAGGCAGCAAGGTTTGATAACAATCCCAGTAAATGAACCATTAACAAGTTGAGGGTCTCAAGATTACAAATAATCACTAAAGATCACAAACATTGTGTTTCATGAAAAATAAGTAGCAGTAAATCAGAGCATGAAATTCCTCTCTGAGGATGAAACTATTTAAAAGTTAGACTTATCATCTTGTCACTATTAGTGATTTTTAACAGGTACTTGAACATCCCTGAAAGCACAATTTTTTTATACTAACCTGGAATGACCTTCAGTTTGTCCTGGCATGGCATGAATGCAATAACCTCTTCATAGCAGCTTGAACCTAAAAGTAATTTTCACTCACATTGCATCATAAAGGAGGGATGACAGAACATGTCAATAAGCATTCAATGAACACTTATAAAAATACCCTATCTGTTTGTTTATAGAGACTTATGACAACCACCAGGTAACATGTGAGTAAACTTCCTGTAAGGATTGGGAGGGAGTGGGGGAGGGGAGATAGTAGTCACCTATCAAATACACAAACCATGTCGTACATATTTTCTTCAAACTCATTAATGTACATGTACATGAGTGTTCTTGCTTCTACATTGATATGATAACCTCAATGTTCCCATCACAACTCTACAGTTCCAGTTCAGATTTACCTCACCAGTTTTGTAAGTCACACTAGATGCACACTATCCTAGATGAAACAAACTTGCAGAAGGATGTTAAAATTGATACAGCTTTGATTTGACTCAAGGTCAAACTGTAACTTCCCTTAAAAAGTATAATCATATGCAAAATGCAACAAACACCTGATGAGAAAACTTATTAGCAGGATGCTGTTCCTGCAACAAAACAAAAAAAATTCCCCATGTAATGCATAGCAGTTAAAAAGGAAAGTTGATATTTACATTTAAGGGTTGAAGCTGCCTGATTCAATGCAAAAATACCTGTACAAGTTGATGAGTCAGAAATGCAGAGTGGAGGACAAGTAAATATGCAGCTCCTGGATGAAGTTTCATGTATGTATAAGTTGTAACTTTGTGGACTCCATTTTCTCCTCCAGTACAGAAAGTAGACCAGTATAAGAGCAACCACAACCACCAGAGAACATGAAAGTCCAATGATCCAAAACATTTCTACCACACAGGGCTTGTGAAGTGAAGAGCTGTCACTTTGCAAGGTTGATGAAATATTCATGGCTGGAGAGTTTCCTACTGCAATACTGGAATTGTTTGATACTGAACAGTTGCATGTACATCCTTCAGATGAAGAAGTTGGCAGGTCATCACACCTTCTATTTGAAATCCTACAATGTTTCTCTCCTTTTCCTCCTATAACTACACCTTTTCTAAGAGCAATGCACTGTGGCTCAATGTTCTCATCATCACCTTCACAGCATTCAACACATCTATAACATTCTTCTGCTGTGTCATTGAAGTAGTATTCATTAGAAATGCATTTATTGGCACACTCTCTGTCCTTCACAAGTGTGCATGGATAAAGTTCTTGTTTTTTGCCACAGGAAGTACACTTATGGCACTTATTATTTGTCCTGTTATTTGAAAAGAAACCAATCTTGCAACTTTGACAGCTGATGTCTGTTCCAATAGGGTGTGATGAGCCAGGTTCAACTGATGGCTCCTGTCCATCATGGCATTCAGGAGGGGGCCAACATCTATATTCAGTACGATTTTGCCTGTTGTAAAGCTCAATGTAACCTTTCTTTTTACATCTATTACTGCCAAAGCCCTTGTCCACTAGGACAGTCTGCAACAAAGGATAGTCACAAATTCAAAAAAGAGTTGATTAATTCATCCTTAACTCTGTGGGCACACATGTTAATTTTTGTGGAGGGTGGAAAAACCAAGGCTTCAGTTGAGATGGCAGGCATTTTTTGTGATATATATCAGCTCATTTGTTATAGCATTTTCAAAGACTTCTGTTGCTCAGAGCCTTGTTTTTCGAAAGCTTAAAAGCATCAAAAGAAAATTCAGTTTAATTCTTCTTGTCTACAGCTTCATGATGGATGGTCTGAAAATAAAACTAGAGAATATTATCCCCAAAAAGGGCTTTTGAATAGAGAATTAAAGAAATCCAGATTAAAATTTAACCTTGGGTATGATAACTCAACTCCACTGGTAGCTTCCCTTTAATATGACTAACATATTTGAAAACAACAACTAATCCCTGACTTTGAGAACTCTTGAAGAAATGTAAGACTATGAGACTGAAAATATTTAGTATTATATTAAATAAAAAATGAAACTTCTTGATTAATCACCAAGAATGATGGAATCTCAAGTTTGGATGAAAGGTTTGCAAGACCCACATTTTTCTTTGACTTTTTATTAAACTGAACTACCTTTCAGCATAGTTAAACCCAAGTTGGTGGTCTCTTATCAATGCCTTATATTGTATCTTTTTTTTTTTTTGGCAAAATGTGTCAGTTGTCACCATCTGTGTGGAAAATGTTGTCCTACATGGCACAAACAAGAGCATAAGCTTCTGAAAATAGCATCTGGTGACAAAATTTACATTACTCAACTACTGCAATCATTTGCTGCACAATTCTCTATTGGTATACCGCTGCTCACAAGCAAGAGTCATAAATAGTGAAAGAATACGGCTAAGCCCTAGAGAGAACTCAACGTTCATTCGAAAGTACTCTTTAAAAAAGCTACACGTGGTACATACATACATTCATATACTTTATTTATGCTTGAAATTCACAGTGTAGCTGTAGAGCTAATATCTTTGAGAAAATAAGCTAAAATAAAATAAAAATATGCTATATTACAATTCCATTATTATTGATAAACTATATACCACATTATGCATGCAAAGGGAAATATAACTTGTAGATCTACTGTGGAAAAGCTTCATATCTGAGGATCTCCTGCTTGAATTCTATAAAATTTAATGTTTTGTAAGTGTCTGGGAGAGAGTTCCATATTTTGCTAGCATAGTATGAAAAATGGAAGGATTCATGATTTCCTAAATCTATGGCTGATTTCTCAGATAGACCCAAACTCAGGGACAATTCAATCAATGGCCAAGAAGAATACTTTAACAACTGGGCAAAATCAACATCATGTTCAAAAGAACAGCCTTGGAAGTTTGAAGAACGAATTAAAAGTGAGACATTAAATCAAGTTCACTCTGCTCTTCATAATTCACCAGTGTGGTCATTGAAAATAACACCCTGTTGCTTCACCTTAACCAACTTTTCACCAAGTTAAAAGGCTATTAGAGGCTTGAGCAGTTCCTAAATAGTCTTTAAATTTCTGTCATGCTAGCCCTCCATAGATTTTGGTCAGAGAGACAGGGTTGATGTTAAATGCTTGGTAACCACTTTACAACTGAAATCAGTTACGAGGGCTCAAAATTTCTAACTGTTTCCGAAAAGTGCCCCAAATAAGGTTGTTCTTGCCTTCTTTCGATCTCATATTAACACTTTAACTTCCATAGGTGACCAAGACAGAATTTCTCCTTACAATACAAATACAATATCAACCAGATAAGTGAGGAGAATAAAGAAAAACATCAAATTGGGAATAATTAGTTGATCCAATACTAAATTCTCTGAACTAACTCTATACAAAGTGCATGGTTGACAGTAAGGAGAATTAAAAATTTGAACCAGGAGTTAAAAGGTTAAGAGGGAGGTTTCAGTGGCCAATTTGGTCTTCTACTTCAAAGTTAACTAGAACATTAGGAGGCCATTCAAATCTGAGTTCATATTGAGTGATTTTAATAGGTATACTTGGAAAGTTGTGTGGTCTTCTTATTAAAGTTAACCCATTGACGGAGGCTTGCATTAATAACATGAGGTCCAAGAAAATGAATACTGCTTGATTGTACTTCATCTTCATTGGGAACATGCTGTTAACAAAGCTGATCGATAGGAGGGAGTGCAATTCAACAGCTGATTGAACCCTGTTGATACTGTAATTATTGCAGGACTGACAAATTAATTTCAGTTGCAGAGGTTACCACAAATAACAACTGAATGATGGCAAACTGTATAAAATAGGTCTTGACTCATGATCAAAACTTGTTTTAAAAAATATCCAATTCAGCTAAAATTCATATTGCTTTCCATATGTTCTGAATCAGTGCTTGAAGTGCCGCAAAAAGTGAACTATTTGTCTCCATCCATTTTAAGTGTCAGAAATGTAAGAAATTAAAAATAAATTCTGGATATACACTGGTAATGAGGTACGTAAACAAGGTTGACATCATCATAAAGCTTGAAAGAATTTGCTGGGAACTTTTGTTATTAACCCTTTCCTTTTGACTTCAATTAACCTCGTGTGGAAGGTCTTTATGAAGGAAAAGATTGTGGCAAACGACGTTTCTGATATCAGGCTGTAAATTCTAAAGTTTCAGCCAAACCAAACTGTGAATGTTAATTTAGAACTGCAAGGAAACCTTTGCTGGGAAATGCAAGGGAGTTAACTAATTCTAAAGTTTCAGTTGTCAAGCCAAAATGTTAGTCATTCAAAAAAATTTCACCTGGTGATGAAGAATCTGAACTTATAAATTCTCCTCTAGAGAGATATGAATCTTTTAGAAAGAATTAAACTTCAAGCCTACGTAGACGTCACATCGTAGCTGTCGATGATCAAGCAATAATAGTAAAAAAGGACAATTTTGAACAAACAAGTCTCAGAGAAAATGTGACCATGACTTCTTTTTAAAAAATAACAACATCTGAAGTCCATTGCAGCTGGCTGTGTTATACCAGTCCTACCCAAGACTTATGAAAATTCCAAACAACAATTAGGATTTTAAACGTCATGATCATTTACCCTTGATTAGTACCTCTTACAAAACAAAAGTAAAAGAAAGACCAACTCACCAAAAGGAAAAGAAATCCAGCAAACATTTCTTCAGGATATCAGGACTTGAACGATGCGTTGAAATCTCGTTTAATTTCCAAAAATACCCCTTCAAACCTTCTGCATTAAGCGAAGCGAAGAGGAGAGGAATTTGCTGAGTTGGCTAACAGAGGGGCATATTGTTGCGCATGTTCGGTAAATTCTAGTTTGATACGACAAACCGCTGGTATGCGCCTGCGTCGGTTTCCCGCTCGAGAATCACGAAAGAAAAGAAGCAGTGGAATACGTCGGAAAAAACAATGGTTCGAGTATTTGAGACAACCTTTCTTCTCATTTTTTCTTCTGTAACTAAGATGGAAGCGGCAAATTCTTGAAATTATTGTGTGATGTGTGGAAGGAAATTATTTTCAGAATGCAAAAGATTGTTCGAGTAGTCTCGTGATTGTCTGGGCGATCGATGAAGATGTTATTTTTGAAGGATGCAAGTGGCCTGTCGAAGAGTACAAAAGAATTGGATAGTATACTTTTATCGTGTCTGCGCTATCTCAAGTTATTGGTGATCATTTGAAGTACTCGCCTTTCTGTAAGCGTTTTATAGAGCTTCAACTCTATTGCTAGTGCAGTGTACCTCAAATTTTGGCAAAAATGTAAAGTTTACAGAGGTTTATGTTTTGTTTCAAAAGTTTTTTTTGACATGAATCACAACCGGCAGGGCCGATTACCAAAATAAAAATGGTCAATGTCGAGTAAAGAAAAGTAAGACAATGCTAATGCTAGAGATATGGTAGCTCCATCTGATTAGAAATGGAGGAATAACTATCGATTTTATCAGAGTAAGATAAAGTATTTTCAATCATTAGTCTCGGAAATATCATCAGATACGATCGATGATGTGGGGAAATTGTGAATGAAAACAAGTACTAGTTTGGGCTTCCAGTTGTAAGATGAATAGTTAAATAAATCAATTATTACCCAGTAAAAATCACTATCATTTATCATTTCAACTGCACAAAAAAATCGTATACACTCTTTGCAACCTTATTCTCCAACCTATTAAATTACAAGAGTTGTGTGACAATTTGATGGTCTGAAAAGACTCTTACACATGCCAAACAACAAAGAACCAGTAAGGCTGATATTTAACCGTGAGGATAAAAAACAAAATATTTCCAAAAGCCTTTTCTTTTCAGGAATAAGACTAAATGAGGTAAGATTAAACTAATGTGTAGAGGTTTGTTGATCTCTTTATGAAAATGGATGATTTACATCTATCAGATTTTTGAGAAATGAGACTTAAGTCAAAAGGGGACTTTGACATCGCATATTCCACAGTAATGGGCGTCAGCTTGGATGCCTAGTTGCAGAAATTAGAATTTTTCAAACCAGGGGTTTGGCTGTGCTAATTTTAAGGCAGAAAAATCATAAATCAGTCACTTAAGAAATTTTATAGCTCTGACTGGAAGCTCAAACACTCTTAAGGAACAGGATAATATTTCACCTGATCACTCCTCATATTCTTTTCCCATGAAATTTGGACAAAACTTTCAAAAAACTTTATTGGTAATTTTATAGTTACAAAAAAGGTGTAGACACAAGTTGCATATAGCATAAGCTAGTTGAGGCAAGTTGTGTGGAGAGAACAAAAGATTGATAATTCACACCAGTAGTAAGCTTCTGGTACTAATGACATTCTCTTGAATGCCAGCTTGCCACAGCAAATGTCACACCTATCCTTTCTGTCAATAGTACCGACCATATGTAGTGGGTTCACTTCACATCTCCCTAAACAGCAGAGAACATAATAGTTAATTCCAATCATCAGTCTCAATTAAGAGATAAAAATCGCAGGATCAAGACTTATCTGGCAAAGTGAAATACAAGTCAAACTGGTTTGAAGACATTTTAACCTGAAATTCGTTTTTAAATATGACAGAAATACTGTAGTTCACATTCTAAAGAAACAAGGAGTTCCAGCCACTTGAGTAATTATTCATATGTTGTATCGCTCATCTCATGTTTTAAGAACCAGAGAAAGTTATGTAATTTTAATCTGCGAGTTTTATAGTAAACTTCGACTCAAAATTCATTTCGTATGGCAGAAGTATTCTACTGAAATAAACAAGATAGAATGAAGCTGACGCCATCCGTTTCGAATAACACATGAACATGAAGAAAACGGCACCAGTTTAAACTCATGAGACAAAGCCCACGCATAGTGGGAGCTAATCTCCGTCAACTGCTGAACATCTCAACATCAACACCAGTTTAAACTCATGAGACAAAGCCCACGCATTTTTTTTAGGTAAATGAACTGGTTAGACCGAAAGCTAAATAAATAAACAATGAACTGACAGTGGTGAGGGATTTGGGGGCCATGTGATAAAACAAGTTCTACCGAAGTTTATCCTCTAGTTAGCACTTCAAGCCCAAAAGGGCAATCAGAAAAATTCTCACCAAAACACAGCAACAAAATTGGATAAAACCGGAGATGATCGAGGCAAGACTATAAACGTTGTTAAGACACATGCCTACATACCAAGTATAACAGACTTGGAGAGCAAAAAGGCCAAAGACAGTTGTGAGCCATGACTTGGAAAATCCACTTCAACCTCCCAAAAACGAATTCGCCGAAGGTTGTAGAAAGAGCAAATCAATCCTGAAGCTGGAACATTTTTTTAAAGCCTTGTATCCTATGGGACAACAAAGAGAAAGAAGAGAAGATGTTATTTGAAGTGATTTGAAGCTTAGGGGCCACCTCGAACTTAACGTAATTTTATTTCAAAGTTGAAGTAAAATAAGATCAAATTGTAAACTACCTTCTATTATCGAAACGAATATCTCACGATCGCCTCCACACACCACTTCGTGATTCATAGAAGTAAGACATCAACATCTTAAGACTAACCTTCAAGGTTTGTAGTCTCGTGTCCACATCTTGATCGTCAGCAAATCAAATCTCAAACTTCAAGTTTTCGACCTTTTTTCGCGTTTTGTTCGCACTTTGATCATTAAAATATCCTCATCCGAAGAGCCAGCAAACTCCACAAGTATCCACAGAGTTAGAAATGATGGTAAACTTGTCATACTCTTCCATCACTCTCCAAAAAATTTAACAGGAAGGTCAGACTTGGTTCGCTCAATTGAAAACGGGTCGCGAATTCCCACGTAGACTCTGTGACCCCCTTCCGCAGTATGATTTTATTGTGTCAGCGGTCGTCCCACTTTAGTAATAACTAACTAAGGGGAGCTCAACTTGGGGACTAGGGTTGAATCAGCTGTTAATTATAACCTTCATTGAAAAGGTCATAGACAGGCCTACACAGACTCCCCTGTGTGGTTTTACGTTTGCGACGCAAAAGCCTTTAATTAAAGCTTCGCTCTGACGAGTATGTCTTTGAGCGATTTACCTCTTTTGTATGATATAATCGGAGGCGTTTTGTAAATTGTTTTCAGCAGTGGCTGATTTTGGATGAGGTTCCATTCTTGCATCAGTATTTGTTTTAAATTTTTTAACCCCTGGGTGGTTTGCTGTCACAAAAGGCAATATTTTGCCTTTATTTTTTTTGGTTTGTTTTTTAAGTGTCGGCTGCCTTGCGGCAAACGAGACCTCAGATAACGTTTTTTCAATTAGGCTTTTTGGGTAACCACGTGCTTCAAGTCGTGTTTTGAAGTTACACATGGCCTCCTGGAAATTTCTCTCCGAGGAGTTTGTTCTTAGAAGTCTGATAGCTTCTCCTTTAATAAAGCCTTTCTTAACACCTGGCGGGTGGCAAGATGAATAGTGTGTATATTGAAAGGTCTCGGTCGGTTTGTAGACTGATTTTTCAGAGATGACACTGTTGTACTTTTCAACATGTTTATTATCACTCTGAAAGCGTGTACATATAAGATCTTTCAGCTCTGAAAGCTGATTTTCTATTTTGTCTATCCTGTCGGCATCAGTATTTACAGTGTTCCTCAAGGGCGAACGTGACCTTTCACGTGTATTTACATTGTATTGTGATCGAGACTTGGCAATATTAGCCTTTTCAAGTTTGTTCTTGTGACTAACAAGTCTACGCTGATGGAAGCGCACTAGGGCGCTAACGTATTGTTCTTCGGCATGACTTTTAATAGCGCTTATTTCCTGTCAGGCGTGACGTTTGCCTTCGCCTTGTATTGAAGCGACTTAGGGCAAGTCTTTTGTTGTAAGTGTCTCTCCAGTTTTAGATGGAGGTTTCAGTTTTTTGCTTCTTGAACTGGATAGCGCTGATGGTGTCTTCATGTTTCCTCTTCCTTGGCTGCCGCGTGAATCGGCTATTCCTCGGAAGGTTTTCTTTTTGACGGCTTTCTTTTTGAAGGCGTAGACCTTCGTTGCTGCGTTGTTTGGCTAATGCAGCTTTATGCCTTGGCTCGAGTTGTGATGCTGGAGGGCTATCCTCTGGGTCCGATTCTAGGTTCGGATCAGTGTACGTTAATTCCATCTCCTCGTCCAGATTTGGACGGTAGTCTGGCGTTTTTGGTGGCCGCAATGGTGTTTCAAAAGCTGACATCTTTTTCAGGTAAAACTGAAAGTGAATTATATCGTCTAGCAGGACCGGCGGTTTCGATTCTTAAAGAATCTCTTCAGCTGCTTTGTTAAGTCAGACTGTGTTAATCAGGGACAGGCAGAGAAATTCTCAATTCCAATCCCGCCAAAAAGGGTGGAAAACCATCGTTTTATACTTGGGTTACCTGCGGTTAGGATCAACGGTGTTCCGTTTTCATTGGTTCTCTCTGGAAAGAGAGTAACCAATCATGTGTTGGTATTTTCGATCCGCGCTTACTTACCTCGTCTTTGAATCTGCCATTCAATTCGCCTTTTCTTAACGTAAATTCTAACAAAATCCTGCAAGGTTTCAACTCCGGAACCCAACTGATCAGAGTAGAGTAATTAATTGTGATACCGCTGGTTGACTGCAGGCAGATCCTTGTTTATTATTACTAAAGTGAGACGACCGCTGACACGATAAAATCATACTGCAGAAGGGGGTCACAGAGTCTACGTGGGAATTCGCGACCCGTTGAAACCCGCAAAAGCGCGCTGAAAATATCAAAATGGCGCCGAACAAATTTCTTGGCGCATGCGCAACAAAGAAGTTTGTTGTCAGAGTCACTTTTACCCAGGTTTTTCTCGGTCA